ACAGCCATGTTCAGCAGATAAACCAACATTCTTGGCGCCCCACCACTTATCCAAGAAGACCTGGTCTCTTCCTGAGATGATCCAGATCTGATTCTTGGGGTCTGCCGCCAACTTATCAACAATGTTGTGCAACCTTGAAGAAGGGATAGCCGCAGCTGGATCTTGAACAATAGGTGTCAAAGTGCCGTCGTAGTCAAACAAGAAAAGGCGCCTCTTCAGATGGTTGTAGTTGTTCAACAACATGGGTCTATTCAAAGTAGGAGTGTGGTGCGTCTGGTGGGTCGTCTCCACATGATCAATCAAGTGTTCCAAAAAGTTGGATGTCCACACCTGAATGGTGTTGGATGTTACTCTATCATAGAGCTTCGACTCAAGCTTCGCCTTGTCCTCTTGGCTCATGTTGAGACAAGTGTTCATTGTCTTTGCAATACTGACGGAGTCCCAAGGGTTGACTAAAATGGAGTCGCTCAACACAGATGCTGTGCCTGTGAACTCTGAAAGAATCAAAGGTGAGCAGTTCGTCTTCTGGCAAACAACAAACTCCAATGACGTAGTGTTCATTCCGTCACGGACTGACGTGATAAGACACAAGTCAGCCACACGCAAGAGGGCCAAATACTCGTCCTTACTAATGCGGATCTGGTAGTGGAGAACAGGCGTGTAGTTCAAACTTCCGAAACGAGAGTTGATCAGGGTCACCAAGTCCGACACCTTCTTCTCCACACGCTTATCGTGAGAGTACCCAGGGGAGGAGATTTGCACGAGAACAACCTTGTCTCTCCACTCAGGGTACATCTGCAAGAACATCTCAAACGCCTGGAGTTTCTGCTGAACACCACGCACAGAGTCCAAACGGTCTCTTCCGACGATGATCTTCTTGCCTGCGTAAATCTCTCTAAGAGCCCTGATCTTGTCCTCAATGGATGCATCCTGGAAAGCGTCGTGCTCGACTCTTTTGGCGTCTATGCCAATGGGCAAGGTCTCTACTGAAATGGTGGAGCCGTAAGCGTTGATGCTGTTTTTGGTCACGTCGTAGCCCAAAACACGGGCACAACAACTGAGGAAATGGCGTTGAAATGACTCGCTTTGGAACGCAATCTTATCGGCACCTAGCATGCCGTCAAGCAACTGCGTCCTTTTGGCAAGACAACGGTAGTACTCCGACGAAGGGAACGGAGCATGCATGTAGAAACCAATAAAGGCATTGGGGAACTCCATTCTCAACAATTGGGGCAAAAGCATGAGGTAGTAGTCGTGGATCCAGATAATGTCGCCTGGCTTGTAGATTTGCTTGATTTTCTGAAAGTAGGCCTCGTTGAATCTGACGTAGTCGTGCCATTCCTGGCCCTCCTGGGCCCCGTCGTTGGGCAGACCCTGGATGTAGTGGAACACCGGCCATATCACCTTCTCTGCATAGCGTCTCCATCTGTCCTGGTCTTTCCTTAACAACCACACCGGGTGGACGTTTTCCGAGTTCAATGTCTGGCGCATCTTGTGCTCAAGCTCGCCCTTATCCTCGTCGTCCAAATACAAAGGATCCTCCTTGATGTTGTCCAGATGCAAATTGCTCAATATAGAAGTCTTGTTCACCAACTCGCCGGTCCATCCGATAAGGTGACTTTCCCAGTCGGTCTCGTGCTGGAGAAAAAGCACCGACAGGTACAACGCCAGCTGGCCTCGTATAGGAGCAACGGACCATGTTGAGCCTCCCAGAGGTTCGTTGACTTTGCATATCTGAGTCGGTAACGACAGAACCACGCTAAGAACACGCCCCGATAAGCTTAGCTTTTTGTCATTGGCATAGGCTTTGGGGGATATCGTGGGGGTGTCGGCCGGGTAGGCCTTCAATTGGTCATAGACGGAGGGCATGGGCTTTTTTCGGTGGAATAGTTAAAGAAGCTTATAGATGGTATCACGATATCTGGACGGCAGGTAGATCGGAAGATCTATGCGTGGAAGCGGCGGTTGCTATAGGTCTAAAACGGGCACTTTTGGGTGAATTTGGTTTTATGCTCTGGCGGGGGGTATTTTGTGATTTTGACTGAATTTGGTAGTATTCTTTGTTAAACGATTGGACTTGCTGTTGGTTGGGTTGTACCTGCTGTTTGCAGTCGCTGCGTGGAATAAGGTGATAACAAGATAGTGAGTGAAATTCGGAATTTCTAGCGATGATTTTGCTCCTTTTTCTTATTACTATCCAAATTCAAGTACTCCTGATTTTATTGAAATCACTCATAAGTCAAACGGTCATTTACCCGCTGAACACGCTCACTCGGTATGGCATTGCCCGTTAAGGGTCTCGATTTCGGACTTTTCCCGCTAAGGCAAACTCCTCTACAACACACCTACAGCTCCCAATTCTGTTTTTCTTTTTTTCATGGTATATATATCTCATCCAATTACCCATCCGAAAAAATAAAAACTAGCAAGCAAACATCAGAACTAGAAATTAACTATTCTCTGACCTAGGCCTCGGTGGCCTCCTCAGAAGACTTCTTGTAGTCCTCGTAAGCGGTCAAGGCATCCTCAAAGTGGGTGCTAAACAACTCGTCGTCCTCCAACAAAGCCAAGATCTCCTGGTTCTCCAAGTCCAACATCATACCAGTGATCTTACCAGCGGCCTCAGGCTCGTCGGCCTTACCGGTGGAGACAATCTTAGGGTACAATTCCTCACCCAAGATTCTCTTCTGCTGCTCAGCTGGAGCAGAGGCAATGATGGCAGCCAAGTCTCTGGCCTTGTTAGGACCACCCTTCTGGCCACGCTGAGGTGGGAAACCACCTCTCTGCTGACGGCCGTTAGGACCCTGGAACTCACCACCGTACATTGGTGGCATGCCGTACATAGGCACTGGCTGGCCGTTTGGACCAGCTCTTGGCCACTGACCCTGAGGAGGAGGCATCTGGCCTCTTGGCATCATCATCTGAGGGTTAGGTGGGAAAGGACCGTTGCCACCTCTGCCGTTACCAGGGAAGAAACCTGGCTGCTGGCCGTAGAACATAGGAGGCATGAACTGACCTGGCATACCACCAGCGGCAGCGTTCTGCATTCTCATCTGGTTACGAGCGTGGATCTGCTGCTCCATCTGAGATCTTCTGACCTCCTTACGCTGGGCAAGAGCAACGTACAAAGGCTTGCCGAGGATGATACGCTGGTTCATCTCGGTGATAGCCTTGGTGGCCTCCTCTGGGGTGGAGAAGCACACGAAACCGAAGCCCTTGGACTTACCGGCATCGTCAACCATAACCTTGGCAGAGGTGATGGTACCGAAAGGCTTGAACTCCTCCTCCAACTGCTCGGAGGTGAGGCTGTCGTCCAAGTTCTTGACGAACAAGTTGACGCCCTGGTACTTGGACAACTTCTCCAAACGAGTAGACTCGTACTGCTTCTTCAACTCCTCGATTCTCTCTCTCTTCTTCTGGGCTCTGCCGACGTAGATCTTCTGACCGTTGATCTCCTTGTCGTTGAGCTCCTCAACAGCCTTGACGGCAGACTCGTGAGCCTCGAAGTTGACGAAACCGAAGCCCTTGGACTTACCCTCGTTGTCCTTCTCAAAGTGGACGGAGGTGATCTTACCGTAAGTAGAGAACAAGTTCTTCAACTCGTCCTCGGTGTACTCAGGACCGAAGTTCTTGACGAACACGTTGGTGAAGTTAGCCTTCAACTCCTCAAAGTAAGACTCACGGTCCTTTCTGGAGAAGTGCTTGCCCACGTACACCTCACGGTCGTTCAAGGACATACCATTGACGTTCTCAATGGCAGCCTCGGCAGCCTCAGCGGTCTCGTAGTGAACGAAACCGAAACCCTTAGAGTTACCAGCCTCATCGGTGGCAACCTTACAAGACAAGACGCGACCGAAAGCAGAGAAGGTGTCGTGCAAAGCCTTGTTGTCGATGTCGGGGTGCAAGTTCTTGATGAAGATGTTGCCGTCACCGTTTCTTCTCAAGGCTGGGTCTCTCTGGGACCACATAATACGGCATGGTCTGCCCTCAATGAGCGAGTAGTTCAACTCGTCCAAAGCACGCTCTCCATCCTCGTGCTTGTGGTAGTTCACGTACGCGTAACCCAAGGACTTCTTGGAAACAGCGTCACGGCAAACTCTGATGGAAGAAACCTGACCCAATGGGGAGAAGATTTCGAAAAGAGCAGCCTCAGAGACAGATGGGTTCAACTCACCCACGTACAAAGAGGCCGAGGTGTCAGCCACAGCGTCACCTTCACCCTGAGCAGAAGCCTCGGTGGCCTCAGTCTGGGCAGGGGCGTTAGAGTCAAGGTTCAAGTTGTCCAAAGACTCGGTGATTTGGGATGCGTCAGGAGCAGACATAATGTATTATTTTTTGTGTTTTTTACTTTTTTTTTTTTCTTTTTTGGAAAATCGGATACGAACGAACAACGACGAGACGGGGCTCAGGCGGTTATTCACGAGTCGTAGTAGGGCAGAAGCTGGAGATTTCTCTGAAGAGGAAAACTCTTTTTAAAAAAAATCATCGTTGATGGCCTAGCGAGAAAAAAACGCCATATGCAGGCCGCTTTTTTTCACAATCATAATCCCACGTCCCACCGTTCGTTCCTCATAACGACGCTGATGAGATTACCCGGCGCGGTACGCGCACGACCTACACTAAATCTAGGGTAGAACAAAGGAAAAAGGAAAGAGAAAAGTGGGTGGAGAGTCAGCTTTTTTCATTTTTTATAAGAATTGGAATTTGCTTTGGTGGGTTATATTTGCTGTGTTTGAGTGTTGTAAAGTGAAGCATGGTGTGGATTTCGCAGCCATGTCTCAGGAGACGGAGTGGGCCACAATGGACCCGAATACGTGAATTTGTAGAATGTATTATCATTGAGCGTGAATTCAGGAATCAAAGTAATTATCTAATTGAATAAGAAAGAGATATTCATATTGCTTGGCTCCTTATCATGCTGTTCGAGGTGTTTCATCACCCCATCGCTATACAAGGTTACTTCATGATGATCAATTTTATTGCTCTATGTTGTTATCTGCTCACTTCTTCTCAAGCACATTCACGTATCTTCTCTTTTGCTTGCGGCCTCCAGCAGGAGCTCCGCTGCTCAACGACAAAAGGTCGTCCAAGTTGGCATTCGCCAAGTTCCCTCTTGGGGCAGCACGAGCTGCTCGAGGAGTGGGACCCTTGGGGGCCGAAGGTGCTTCGGAGTTGCTTTCAGAAGGTGCTTGTGGCTTGCCAGCCTCTGGAGAACTGGCCTTTGGTTCCGCTTTAGGCGCAACCTTCTTCTTCATTGGAGGTGGTGGTGGTGCCAGCTCCTTGATCTGCTCCTCGAGGGGTCTGCTCTTGTCAATCCATCTCTTGAGTTCATCGTCGTAGTAGAAGGTGCTCTCTTGTCCAAGCTTAGCCTTGATTGGCTTCGGCTTGTCGTCTTGCCTCCTTCCTCTCAACCTGCTCAACCAACCCTCGCTTTCTTGTGCTGGTCTTCTTGCTTCGTTCTGTTGGGCGGCAGCAGCACTCTCCTCCTTTCTCTTCTTGATTCTCTTCTCCTCCTCGTCCTCTTCATCCTCAGGAACGGGAACGTAGTCGTGAACAGTGTCATCCTTCACCTCGTACTGCTGATACATTACCGACTGTTGAGATTGAGACAACTTGCTGGAAAACAAGCCATTGTGGCCAATGACCGAATTGGCTCTGGTGGTGTACTCCGGCGAGCCAGGTATGGAGAAGTCTTCAAGACCACCTTCAACTGGTGCCTTCTCATGCTGGAATGGGTTGGCATAGTCGGCCCTGGCAGTTGGAGAAACCACTCTGCCAGGCATTGGTGGCTTGGTGTCCTCGGAAGTGTCCACGCTTTCATCTGCACCGTAGTCAACACTGATATCCACGTTTGCTGGAGGCTTCGAGGTGTTCTTCTCAGGCTGCTTGGTCAGCTCCCCAGGTGGCGCATAAGGGTTCTTGGGAGCTGGTGCGTAAGGATTGGCTCTTCTACCTGGTGGACCACTTGGTTTGGAGGGGCCATTTCTTGGAGGTGGTCCTCTTGCAGGAGGGGCCTGACTAGGTGCTTCAGGTTGAGGCGAAGGGCCTGAAGCTGGGGAGTCAGAGGGGGCCTCTTCGTCCTCGCCTTCCTTCTCCTTCTCCTTATCCTCTTCGGCTTTAGAAACCTCGTTCTCGGCATCACCATTCTGATCATGACCTAAAACCTCATTAGTTGACATATTGGGCGTGGACTTCTCCAAGAAATCCTTATGTTGAGAGGGATGTGGAGATGCGTACTTGTTGGCCGTCTTTCCTGGTCCATACCTGTTGGAGTTGGAGCCGCGAGCCTGGCCTCTGGATCCTCCTGGAGCGTAAGGATTGGCTCTTTGAGGAAGAGACTTCCTAGTGGAGATAGGTGGTGGTGGCACAGAAGCGTCATCCTTCTTTGGTTCATCCTTCTCTTCAGGCTCCTCTGATGGTGTGGGCTTGTGCTCAGGCTCTGGCTCTGGCTCTGATTCCTCCTTCTTTGGCAATAACTCACCTCTAGATGGGCGCTGGCTAGAAGACTCCTCTGATTTCTCCTCAATAGTATCAGGTACATGGTTGTCCTCATTGCCATCAATTCCATCTTGCACCTCACTCTGTAACAGCGAAGTCCTGAAGTGACCCTTCTCAAGACCTCTTGGTGAGCGTTCCATAACCGGATGTTCATTAGTTACATCAAGGTCTGGTAACTCAAATCTTTCATGCTGGTCATTGTGTCTCTGCTGGTTCTGCTGTGGGCTAACGTGAGATGACACGATTGACAGCGCAGACACCTGACCGGAACGATTGCTGTACAACGGGTTACGAGGGATTGGAGGCTGTCTTGGAGCAAACGAGGAGGCCTGCTTCAATGGCGGCTTGGCATCCTCGTTCACTGGACTTGGATCAAGAGCCACATTAGGCAGCGAGCCGTTGCTTGGAATTCTTTTGTGGGTGGGATGTTGAGGAAGGCCCAGCTGGAAACTTGACTGGCCCAGCAAGGAAGGTGCCTTTTTGTAGCTCCCTGGACCGCCTGGCGCATATCTCAGTGTGCTTCCACGAGCTTGTGGCTGAACAGGACTGAAGTCTGTATGTCCAGCTGGCGCTGATGCGAGCGACGCTGTTCTGTTCAAATCGGGGCGTATTTGAGTTCCGTTTGGCAATTGTTGAGTAATGTCTAGGGTGGAAGCATTGCGAGAAAGCGAAGGACTGTAATTGCGGAAAACGCCAGTGTCTTGTGGCTTGGGGGTTGAATCCTCACCTCCAATAATTTTGTCAAGATGTCCCCACATTTTGTCCATGTTAACTCTGCTCCTCAATTTGGCACCAAGCCAACTCGAATCAGAAGCTCCAGAGTTAGATAACCTGATGAGCAAATCCTGAAATTCATGAGTCAACCCTGGACTTACGTATGGCGATTTACCGAGAGTCCTCATGGTACTGCCAATCAAATCACAATATCTTCTTGCTTCGGTAAAGCAGCCGAAGTCAGCAAGAGTCTGGGCACGTCTCAACTTGAACAGAAGCAAGTGAGGTAAGCCTGTTGGAGGTATTGTGTTCAGTGTTGCCGGCGAAACCAGCAAAATGTACTCGTAAATTTCGGAGTAAACCGAGGTCAGTGTGAAAACACCAACAGCTTGGAATGAAGCACCGTTTGTGAGTGGAGAAGGAGTCATGACTAATCCTCCAATGATGAAGCAAAGCTCGCTAGCAGTGGTCATGCCAGATTTCGATAAGAAGTTGCCAAAGTCCACTAGGAAGTTGGTGTTGCAGTTGTTGACAATGGCAGCAGCGAGGATTTCCTTATAATACATCCTTGCAAATTCACCTTCAGTGGCGACGTTCTCGAAGTCGCTGATCACACCAGCGGAGTTTCCGACAAAGATCTTCATGAGAATTGGCATGAGATGTTGCACTTTGGCGATCAGACCCTTCTGGAATGGAAACGATATTCTAGCGTAATCCGAGGCAACCTTCGCAAATCTTTCCTGACCAATGGAGGAAGCAATGATGAACGAAAGCGCCCAATCACCCTTAGACATTGCGATGGACAATGCCTCCTCTGTCTTACCGGTCTGAATCAAGCTCCAGACACTGTTAATGCCTTGATTATCAAGCTTATAGGCATTGGCAGAAATGGCTTGTCCTCCAACTGACATGGAAGCAGCTGGCGTCTCCTGGTTGTAGTCAACGTTAGGAGTGAGCACCTTGGCAATCTCCAACAACAACTCTTCGTTTCGGAAGTTTCCGTCAAACTTAACAAGCAAAAGAAGAATCTTGGCAAGGACCACTTCATCGGAAGCCGGGTTTTCAGCCTCAGTAGATGTTATCACCTTTTGCAACCAGAGTTCCATATCCTTCTTCTTGACCTTGCCCTTCACCAATGGTCCTGGGAAGTCATTGTAAAGGTTGTGTTTGCTTGCAACATCAGAAACCTTCTCAACCTGGATTTTTCTAATCAATGGGTCAAAGGAACTCACTGGCTGATGAGGAATCATGAAAGCCACATTTTGAGAACTGTTCCAATGAAAGATTGGAAATTGTCTCTCTAGCAAAGCGGCTGGGTTCTGCACCTTTGGGTTCGATTTCCTGTTCAAAGAGGCGCCTCTTGCCCTGGTTCCGTGGAACCCTGGTGGAGGTACAGCACCCTTTGCGTGCTGTTGAGTGGGGGGTGGGCCACCTTGCACCGGAGCGTATGGGTTTCCTTCCTTGGCCTTGCCACCAACAATTGAGCTGGTCCGCGAGTGGCCTCTAGCTCCGGGAGCATAGGGTCCCGAAACAGGAACATATGGGCTCAACGAGGCTCCCTTTTCAGGATGCTTTCCTTGCATAGCGGTGTTGACACTCATTCTTGGAGACTTCTGGACTTGAGTAGGCTCCTGAGGCCTACCACCTAGATTGGGGAAAGGCTGAGCACCATGATTTTGGGGAGGCGCCGCCGGTTGAGGCAAGTGACCCTGTGGAGGAACGCCTGGATGGCCCTGAGGAGGAGGAACGCCTTGATAGCCTTGAGGAGGAGGTACGAAACCTCCCTGTGGAGGTCTTCCAATAGGAACGGTGTTAACTTGTGGAGACATTCCTGGTGGAACCTGCGTGTTCGGCTGGTACTTATTGGGACCAGGTGGAACGTTTCCTATGACAGGCTGTGGGATGTGTGCCACTGTCTGTGAGTTCTTAGGCTGCAATGCGGCATAAGGATTCTTTGGTGATTTGGTGGGCAATGCATGGCCGACAGAAGGACTAGATGCATTTCTAAGAGACTGATTGGCGTCTTCGTTGGTTGGCTGAGGGGTATAAGACGAAGCAGCAGCTCTTCCGGGCCTCGAGGAAGGCTTGATAGCATTTGGTGGATACTCCTCGAAGAAATTCTTCTTCACTGGAGGAGCAGCAGGACTCAAACTAGATGATGTGACGTTTGGCGAGGTGATTGATGAAACTCTTTCGTTTCCAGGTGGAGCCATACCTGCTTGGTTCACCAATGGAGATGTTACCGATGATGGGTTCAGCTTAGCTGCAGCTCTAGGAGCTCTAGTAGGAGGTTTAACCAAACCCATTGGGAAATCGTACGCATCATTCTTCTTCTTAGCAGCATTGAGCTGTTCTTTGATCTTATCCTCAGCCTTGGGTATCGTTGGTGCATGAGCAGCGACCTCGGCCACTGCATGCTTTCTAGGCTCAATGGTTGGCCCTGATGGTTTGACTGCAGTAACAAGGCCAGATTTTGGCTGCTCAACATCCTTTGGTGCATATGGGTTTCCGCCAGGCGCAGGGGCGGTCGTAGGGGCATATTTCAGCGTTGGAGCATACTTTGAAGACTGCTTTTGTGTCTGAGTTGTTACCTGGGGAGCTGCCTGTTGAGCTGGTTGAGTGACCTGCTGGGATGGCTGCTGCACATTTGCCTGAGTGGGCTGTGTGATTTGCTCTTCATCTTCAAGGAACTCTTCGTCCAAAAGCAAGTCTTCATCCATGTCGAGCATTTCCAATGCCCTCAGTTTATTGTTCAAGCTTTCGTCTGCTTCCTGCGCTTGTTCGACACCGTGGTGAATGACTGTATCGTAATGAGCGTGTTGTGGCTCGTCTAAAGGTTGTGGGTCAGGCGATTCACTTTCACCGAGGAAGTCGTCGTCGCCCAACATGCTATCAAGGCCGGTCTCATCCTTTTGTGGTTGTTCTTCTGATTGAAGTTGATTGGACTCGCCATTAGTCCAAAAGTCTTGCAGTTGTTCTTGCTCATCATGGGTAGCAGGTTGTGGGGCAAGTTCGTCGAAAAACTGTGAGTCGGGCTCAGCAACATTGTCAGCTTGAGAATCATACCCGTGTTGTGGAGCCTCAGACTGAAAGTTGTCATGATTAAATGGCTCCTCGTGTTGACCTTCTAATGGTGCCTGTTGCTCATGCTCAAATGGGTATTCATTGGGTTCGTCTGCTTGATTACTGTCCCAAGGAAGAGGTTCATCATCAAGGTTTTGGTGAGATTCCTCATGCTGGAATTGCTGATCGAGCTGTTGTTCGTAGTTGACATTCTCGTCGGTTCTCTCTTGATCAAAGCCCGCTCTGACATCTTTCTCGATCTCTCCATCATATGGAGTTTGCTGGTCCCAAGGGTCTTCGTTTGCCTCATTTGCAGCGTTTTCATCCCAAGGATCTTCAGGAGCCTCGGGCTCGTCATTTGGATTCCACGCATTGCCGGCATGAGCCTCGTGGTCCCATGGCGCTTGTTGCTCGCTTTCGTTCACAGCTTCGGGGTCCCATGCGTGAACCGTGGGTTCATTGTAGCCTTCCCATTGAGCTTCGTTGGCATGTTCTGGCGCAGCTTCTTGGTCCCATGGCTCATGCTGCTCTTCATGGGCAACCTGCTCTGCCTCCTGATCCCATTGATTATGCTGCTCTTCATGGGCCACCTGCTCTGCCTCCTGATCCCATTGATTATGATGCTCTTCTTGAGGAGGGTGTCCTGCCTCTGGATCCCATGCATCATTCTTCTGTTCAGCATCCAAATTCACGTCCTGATCCCATGGATCATCCCCAAGATCGTCGTCCTGGTCCCATGGGTCTTTCTCATTAGCCTCTTCGGGAGCCTGGTTTTCGCCTGCTTGATCCCAGTTGTCTTGGTTCGCCGCTTCGTGCTGCCAATATTGCTGATCTTGAGTTTCGTAGGGGTTCTGGGCTTCACCTCCGTGCTCTTGTTCCGCCTGCGCTGCCTGTAGCTGCTGGCTCTCCTCAAGCTCAATATTCGTGTATGCGTCCCACCCGGAGCCATCATCGTCCTGAATATCTTCGTCTGGTGGCAAGGGCAAGGAGCCGTGGTGGCTGAAGTTTTCATGCTGAGGTGGCTGATGCTGGTTCAAGTCTGTGTTCTGGTTGTCGTCCCAAGGCACATCGAATGGAGGGTTACCCCGCGGAAGCGAGGAGTGGTCCTCCTGGACATGTTCTTGTTGCTGGTCGCTGGCAGACAGCTGCTGGTGGTATTGATGCTGCTGATCGTGGTGCTGCTGCCACGATGGCTGGTTCAGCTCCCAGTCCTGGGGTGTATCTTCCAACTGCTGATTCAGCTCCTCTTCGTTCTGCTCCTGATTCTGAGCTTCACGACGCTGCCATTCGGGCGAATGGCCCCATGGCAATTCGCTCCTGTTATCGCTGTGCTCAATGTGCTCCGATTCGCCTAGCACAGGCTGAGGCTGGTCGATGGCACTCGTTGGCGGTTTCACAGCTCCTCTACGTGGAGGTGGACCTTCGGTGGATTTGCTTTCCGAAGCCGAACTTTCTAGGTTCTGTGACTGTGGAGGTCTAGCCCTTCTAGGTGGGGGTCCTGGAGCCGGCTGGTCCGACGTGTCAGTGGATGGAGCCGGCGAATCAGAGGGTCTAACATTGGAGGCCAAGGCGTCCAAGTCCACCAAGGGCTGTTTGGCACGTGCCGCCAGCCTGGCCTTATTGATTCTTCTTCTGGAGCTCATCACGGGGTTTTTGGAGAAACTCGCCGGTGTGGGTATCCAGAAATGCTGTAGGTTTGGTGGTTTGAGTGGGTGGTGTGGGTAAAGCGTGTTATTTGACGCTCACCTTGTGTGCAGGCGCGGCCCACCCAACGCTTCGATTCGATGGTTATGAATTGACAGAGGTGGGATTTTTTGGTGATTTACTTTTGGGAAAGGAAGTAGTGTTCTGTTTTTAAGGATTCCCCTTTGCTGGAAATCGTGAGATATTTGTTGTTTGGAGTTTTGTTGGAGCTCATTGTGAAGTCCGATATGGACAGGTGCCACGATGGAAGATGTGGGCCAAAGAACCGTAATTCGTTTTTGTTTCGGAGGGTCCACTTAAAGGGACTTTCCAGTCATGAGAAATATAAAAAAGCCGGATTTAATTATACTGGGTGGTTTTTTTTGGCAGGGTCCTCTACATCATTTTGCAACTTCTGATGCTTTCAGATTTCGCAGCCATTTTTGTAAGCGAGGTCTGGTCCCCAGGCCAAAACTGCAAATGCTAGCAATTACTGTTTCAACTCGAAAAGGATAATTCAGGAAGCTTTCAAAGGATGTCTTCAGTGTCTACAAGTAGTCTTTAATATTGGCGGTGGCATTGATGAAGATCTTCAGAATATGGTCAGGATATAGAAGCCCACGGATCCTTCTTGTTCTGATATCATGCTCTTTTAATCTGGATTATCAAGAGATAAGTAGCTCCATAGAATGGGAAAGCCAATCTAAAAAGCACCATTGCTGCAACCCATTCTGGCAGATACCGTCCATCATAACTGAGAATAAGGGCACTTGCGATAATATGAAAAGTAGCGGCTATTGCTGCACAGCAGCACGCCATTGCAATGTATTGTCGTTTTTTATCACAAAGACATATGCCACACGCGAGAGACAACATGAGGGAATATAATCCACCGATTTCGAGTGTCAGAAACTTTCGGTACTTTTTTCCGATGAAGTCAATAGCCTCCTTGCATCCTTCCTTGTGAGCATGTCTCTGATGCGGAGTCAAATAGTAAGGCTGAAGTATCTTTAATTGAGCGATCTCTTCCCCTGAAAGATCCTTCACCATGCGTGAAGTCAGACTGAGCGTCATGAATCTGGGAAGCCCTTGTTTTGTGTACTCTTCAATCCTCTTTGAGTAATCATCCCACTTCTTTATAGTGCCTGGCGTACAAAATTTGAGCTCGTTGGTCTCGCTTTTAAGTTTCTTGCCTTCGGCCCGGAAGGTTTCTAATGTGTCACCATTGAGACCTTCAGAGAAATGGAGGGCCTTCATTGCGCTGCTTTGATTGGCCTCCAACGCACTTGACAGGAAAGCATGAGTTTCGTTCAACACGTTGGGGTCTTCGGAAAAAGTGGCCCGGTACGTTTTTAATGAAGGAATCGTGAAACCTTCATTATCGAACATCGTATAATGGCTATGCCAGGCAAAACCAGTAGGAACTGCAAAGAACACCAGGAGTCCCACTAACGCCGAGACGAACGACACTGGTTTGAATCTCATTGGGTTACTGAATTGATTTGATCGGTATTAAACGCTGGTACAAAACTCAAAACTTGTCAAAACTTGGATTATGGAAAAGAGTCTTGTGGTCGAGTGTGTTTGTGAACAAGTGAGGAAGTGTCGCTTTTGCAACCTTACCCAGGTGCCTCACGACGAACTTTCTACAGTACCATGAAATGCCCCACTCAGCCTTTGAAATCGCAGAACCGTTCTTGTAGCCTGAAGAGAAATATAGGTATCCTCTTGGGTCGTTATGGTGTATCATGATTGGTGATGTTGTCCCAAGAAGACTAGTTGTATCATTCTGTCGCCAGTCGGAAATGGCAAGCTCAGATAGCTTTTTAGAGATTATTAAGCCTTTAATCTATCACTATATACAAATGCATCCTAGTAGGTGCAACACATACAGCTCCTTGGTTTATGCCAGAGTCCTCAATCAGCCTCCACTATAGTACCTCTAGATTCATGACTGGCGATCCTTGCTTCTGTTGAATAAACAAGACAGTCAATTGGCATCTGAAGAATCACTGCAAAGCTGGGCAATCATTATTTTGTTCTCCCAGGTGTAAGCATAGTTGCGATTGAGCGTCGTAAACAGTAATCTACCACTCAAGTGGGCACTGTGAGACATACTAAGTCCAGTATATGGCGGTACTAAACCATCAAAAACTTCTGAAGGCAAGGTGAAGGCACGAACTTGCAGACTTTCTGGAACACCTTCGCAAAATTCGCTCCACCAGAATGAACAACCTTCAATGTCGTTGAGATCTTTGTTGATAACAAGCCTCTTCATGTAATCATAATAGCCATCTTCACAAACCATATATATGCTCATCTCAATATGCTCGAGCTGGATTTTGAAATTCTCCATCGGGCTATCTAAATTGGCTTCCTCGAAGCTCCTAGGTAGCATGAAAGTGAGGTTGAAAAACTCACAAAATTTCAGTCCAGGAGTCAAGAGCAATAAATCATCCCATCTGCTTTGCTTCTCAAAGCGCTCACTTTCACATCGAGTAAGACGAATTGTCAATGGCAACAGTTTCTTCCCTATCGAAAAGGACGAATCAGGTATGGCTCGTCTGTAATGCCCATAGCATTCATTCACGAAATTACCAACCACTTTGTTGCCCCTCATGACACACACAGAGAGATTCAGCTTCCGAAGAACTGAGCAGCTTCCACAGTGAATTGGCTTGTCGATCACCTTTGCTTTAACGTGTACGTCATTGAACCTCTCACCTCTCGGTTTTTTCAAGGTTTTGGGGATATCTTTGGTGCGTATTCCTCGTTCATAATAGCTGAATTTACTTAGCTTCGATGGTTTGATGGCCTCCATAGTTGTGAACAATACCCTCTTGCTACCGTGTTGCCATGATCGGAACAGATATCCGGCCAGATATGATTTTCTTGTTTTTCTCATAAACAGTGCAAAAAAATCATTTATACCCAACTTACTAGTATGATGTTCCATCAAATAACTTCTCTTCACATCACGCTTCTCCCCAAGGTAGCGTTCGTCGTCGTGAATATCACTTTCTTTGAGCCGCTCGTACTTCACTCTCGCCATATTCAACTCAAAAAATGTGGATAACGTTACTTCTGAGAGGCTTTCGTTGAAAAGGATGATTTTTAATCTCAAGCCATAGCTTCTCGTGAAGCTTTGGGAAAAGAAACTCGGACCCACCTCTGGAAGCTTGCAATTGTACAGCTTGGGTGGAATGATGAATGTTGCTCCACAATCGTAAACAAGACCAGTGGATTTGTTTTCAAGCAAGGTCTTCGAACGAACTTCTTTGAAAAATTTTCCATCTCTCCATACGCTAGTGAATTCCTCCAACTGAATGCTTATTTCGGATACGAGAATAGGTTCCAGTGACACATCCTTTATATCTGACACACCACTTATATCAATTTGTAAAGGAACAATGTCGGGAACAGACATGCCAGGCGTCACAATTCGATGGTACTCTCTTTGAATGAACCAAGACGGTTTGACAAAGTCAGCTTTGAGACTGATCGAGACATCATCATAAACTCTGTGACTCGAGTCAGCTGGCACCTCTGACCCAACTCCATAAAGCAGATGCGACATTGGGAACTTTGGGCCCTGAATGAGTTTTCTCTCATCTCCCGTTACCAAGAAGCAGCCACCTATTGTAGGCATGGGCATCTCATAATCTGACCACCAATATGTGACTGAAGTATGCCAAACTTCAAAAACCACCACTCTTCTTTCAAGGTCTGGGCCCAAACCGAATGATGTCACTCCGGTCAGCAGACGGGCATCCTCGAGAACGCTGGAGTCCTCAAGAAAGTCTTGTTCTTCGTTAACCAAAAAATGTAGCTCTGTGATTTTGAAGAAGTGGTCGTTGATTGTAAAGCAATCCTCCTGGAATGTATAACACTCGTAATCCCTTACAGTGCTGATTTCCCTGGCCATTTGCTTAACACTTGTACCCAAGATTTTAAAGACAAGAACGGTGTCTAGTTTTAGAGGACCCGCGTCGTTGTTCTTCTTGAGACGTCTTTTGCATTTTTCAATGAGTTCTTTCATTGTGGATCTGCTATCACTCGGATCAGGAGGAGATGGTGGAACGAATGGCTTATCTATGAGTACTTTGAGGTCATGTTCATTTGGCAAGTACAGTGAAGGGTCATTCGGCCCACGCTTTCAATGATTTTTAAATAGCTGGACTTTCCACCTTCCATGCTCCGCCCAAGTGCCTAAAGGGAAGGTTTGATACGAGCTCGCTGACAAGGTAATTCGAACAAAACAAGCTTGTGACTTGTCAGCTATACTGGCCTTCCCTTGAAGGGTAGCTTAAAGACAAAAATCATGCACTGGCCAACTCTTCAATTATCAAGTAGGACTGCCAACTTCGGACAATGCAACGTTACTATTCAAGCACACCAACCTCCATCTGCGGCCATTCATGGAGGCTGTTCACAGGACCATCTACATAGCGTTTCTCCCAAATATCGCTTTCCATGATTTTTCACCGCTTTTCTCCTTTCTTCCCTCTCCACGCCGTATCTCTAAAAATATCCCCCAATCAGTAGACGAACTTTCCATAACTACAGCCCCCACCTTTCTGAAAAACTCCGATTTCACTAACCATCTGCAAGGCTGGAGATCGGGAATTCGCATACGCAGCTTTGACAGCTCCGCCTCCACAAGCCGTTCGATGCCAAGCCAGCCAATTCCGTCAACTCTGTTCCTAATAAGCTTTCACAATTTACGAAATCCAGCATTTCCTCAATTCAATCCAGAGAATTAAAAATTCGTATTTTCAAAATCAATTGTCTCATCTGCTTTTATTCGCCGCAGCGCCGTTTATCAGCCCCGCTGGGGCTCACCTCACCAGTTTTGCACCCACGCCGCATCCACCACTTTTCGTGTTTTCCTCTGTAAACCACCTCCGCCACTCCGATTGGCCAAAACCTTCGTTTCTGCTTGGTCTATACGCTGCAACTTTGCAGGCTTTTTTTCAAAGCCAGCCTTGCCGAGTCTGGACCACCCAAACAGCACCCGAAGAATCTGACTTCTCCAGCGATAACTCCACCACTCAGCCCCAGCCGCAAAATCCATGGAGCCATTTTTTTCAGTGCTCAGCTATTATGAACAATTGGCTAGGAGCCCCTGTGCACCATTGTTGAACAAGACCAAGCGTCAGGGACGGTTTCTAAAAAACCTTACACTCTCTAATTCACAGCTTTAAACTTTTGAAAAGCAGAAAAATTGTCCAGGCACGACGGCGTAAATGTAAACTATGTCAGTCCACGGTGGGGCTCGTGATATGTCTCAGCTGCAGCCACCCTCACTGAAAACGGCTCCGTGGGTGCTCAAACATCTGGATAGTTGTACGACATTTTTCTCAATTGTCAAGTATAAAAGGCCCCGATCCCCCGTCTTCTTTTATTCATCTGCTTTTTTTCCTCTCCCTCCTTCGTCTTCCCTCCGTCTTCCCACCCCCGTCTGCCCCAGGAGCCCTGAGTCGCCGGAGTGTATGACAGTGCGCATTTGTTCTGTGCGGATGCCAATTCATACAAGCTCCATCGCCTGTTCGCTTCTATTTATAAGTAGCCGCTTCGATCTCCCAACGGCGCCTTATCTCCCACCACAAAAACCGCCCGCCAGCCCGGCTGCAAATCACTTAGCAAATACACCTCAATTATTCCCAATTCCTGTCATCCGACACTATGGGTAGAAGAAAAATCGCAATCGAGCCCTTGACGGACGACCGCAACAGAACCGTCACTTTTGTCAAGCGGAAGGCCGGTCTTTTCAAAAAAGCTCACGAGTTGGCCGTGCTCTGCCAGGTCGACCTTGCCGTCATCATTGTCGGCAACAACAACAAGATCTACGAGTTCTCTTCTGTTGACACCCCGGAGCTCATCAAGAGCTACCAGAGATGCGATATCCACGAGCAGAAGCTGCCGGAAAACTACGGCAATTACAAGAAAAAGGCCCATGTTCACGAGCGGCCTATTCTCCTGCCGAAAGACGACCTCCACGATGTGCCCGTGGACGATGCTGACTCAGACTACGACTCCGAGTCTCCAGAACCAAAGAGACACAAGCCTTCTGCTCCTTCTCGCCAATCGACTCCTTCTTCCATGTACAATTCAAAACCACTGGTGGGGTCACGGATCCCGCAGTTTTCCGAGCCTCAAAAGGAGAAACTGCTGCAGCGGCCGGTTCTCAGGGTCCAGATTCCTTCAGACGCTAAGAACTCCAGCAGCAACGACTCCGCAAAGACAATCACAGCGTTGGAAACAACAGACAAAAAACAAGGTATTGACGATCACGACGGGCAGCTGGTTGGTCGTTCCGACGGATATTCCAAGTTGAAGGGCATGCCCGCTAAGACACCCCAGCTCCCCGTACCCACCATAAGCAAATCACAAACACTGAGTCCGTCGAGCGCAATGGCGCCACAACTTCCTCGAAATTCTGGTGTGCCGTTTTTCCACTCAATGCCTCAGGCTTCGCCTGGTGGGTATCAGCCGGCCATTCTTCCTACGCCGGTGCTCAACCAGGTGTTCAATCAGCAATACATGGGGCAGTCTGCTTCGGGAAATAACGAAAATAACGGAACCGAAGACGGCCACCACGACAACGACGATCCCCAAAAGTACAAACCATCCTTCCCACCGCAATTCGCCAACCCAGAACAAACGCCCATGCTGGCGCTCCCGTCCCGCTATGTCAACGACATTTTCCCGTCACCGTCCAATTTGTACCCCCTGCAAGAATGGCCCCTGGGCATGACCTCCTTCCCTCAAAACATGCCGCATTACTTTGTAGGAATGGTACCGCTGGGCAGTGGAACCACGCCGATGACAGGAAACCCGATGTTTGTTAACGCACGAGGGTCGCTTCTGCTGGCAGTTGGCGGTACTGGGAATGGAAACGGGAACGGAAATGGAAATGGAAACGGTTCTGGTTCAGGACAACGAGGGTTCCATGCCCAGCCTGACGAGAATCTGTCCGGACAAAATAACCAACCCCCGCCTCAACAGCAGCTGCTGAGCACATCTAATACGCTGCCGCAAAACCTGGAGCTCTATATGAGCGGCCAGTTTTTCAAGAAGGATTAGACTGAACAGCCCAGACAGTGACATGGACATGGGGTAATAGAGTGCCAGAAGATTCGCTGCAGATGTATATTATGACAAGCATGTATTTTAGAGAAGTGTATGTAGGGTTTCAAAGAGACGATTATTGTTTTGGATAGGCTGTTTTCTAAGCCGATTGATATTATTCAATCCAGGGTCCATGGTGCATCATTTCGCAGCCATTTCCCAGCCAATGCTGTCAAGCATATTTCCAAGGAGCAAGTGTCAGTAGTTGAAAGAAAAAGACTTAATTTGATGATGTATTTCAAAATGCACTCGAGAAGGATTGTAATTACATTCCAATTGCATTTGACGAACTTGTTAGTAATGTCCATCTACAGACTTCTCATTTGCATTCTTACAAGACACCATACGAGCCTAATATCAGCATGTAGCAGCCAACCTAACATCACCTTCCTATGGTTTATTCTCAAATCACTATCCAAACATTATCCAATTACTTATCATACTGCCGGTTTGTAGTGCGTGGCCACTGTCGTACGACGTTTTTCCTACAGGGCTTAAGCCCTAGCGCCAAATTCCGCCACGTGACGCGCTCGAGTAGCGAGCACTCGTACTATGGACAGTCTTCATAGTGAGGGCCTGCACACAAGGCGCCAAATTCGCAGTAAGGCCCACCCACACTACTGCGCAGCTGGGGGAGAAAAAAAAATTCAATTTTCACCAGGCCCGCTTAAAATTTTTTCTTCCATCTCCATCTAGGCTAACAAGTTCAACATGAAGGTATGTTCCCAAATCAACTGCCACCACTGCCATGAAGCAGAACGACGTCCAACGAATCGATCCATGTCAAAATCCCCACAAACCGTCCACGGACCGTCGAGTTATTCCCTGTTGTAAACGCCATGTACTAACATCCAGTTAAACATTTCCTACCCAGCCAACGGTACCCAGAAGAGTATCGACATTGATGACGAGCACAAGTTGCGTGCCTTCTACGAGAAGCGTATGGGCCAGGAGGTTGAGGGTGACCTTGTGAGCGACGAGTTCAAGGGTTACATCTTCAAGATCACCGGTGGTAACGACAAGCAGGGTTTCCCTATGAAGCAGGGTGTCTTGCACCCAACCAGAGTCAGATTGTTGTTGTCTGAGGGCCACTCTTGTTACAGACCAAGAAGATCTGGTGAGAGAAAGAGAAAGTCCGTCAGAGGCTGCATTGTCAACCAGGACTTGTCCGTCATTGCTCTTGCTATCGTCAAGCAGGGTGAGCAGGACATTGAGGGTTTGACCGACTCCACCACCCCAAAGAGATTGGGTCCTAAGAGAGCCAACCACATCAGAAAGTTCTTCGGTTTGTCCAAGGAGGACGACGTCAGAGACTACGTTGTCAGAAGAACCGTCGAGAAGAACGGCAAGACCTTCACCAAGGCTCCAAAGATCCAGAGATTGGTCACTCCTCAGACTTTGCAGAGAAAGAGAGCTTTGAAGGCCAAGAAGATCAACAATGCTAGACAGCAGAGAGACGCTGCCGCTGAGTACGCTCAGTTGTTGGCCCAGCGTTTGCACGAGCGTAAGGCTGAGAGAGCCGAAATCAAGAAGAGAAGAGCTTCCTCTTTGAAGGCTTAAGAACAGCGGTACTGTTCACCCCCCGTACTATAATTGGTATCTATAAATATCACCTTGTTCGAATTGCAGTGTAGATTAGTTGGCTATTTGACGTCTATCCGCTTCCTTTGCAGCTCTTCCTCCTCCTCTTCAGACAAGTTCCGTTTCTTAACCAACCGCTTGATGTTTTCATACACCTGGTCGGTGGTCAAGTTGGACTCGTACGTGAAGTTCTTCTTCATGAAATTGCTCTTCTGCTCCTCGTAACGAGGGTCTCGAAGAAGCACTCGTAAATGTGTGTCAAAGTCCTGCTCTGGTATCTGTTTTCCTGTAATCGGACACTTGATGGTCCGCTGCGAGCCTGGCGTGGACTCTTTGTTTTTACGCTTGAGTCTCGATTCGCCTGCCGCCTTGATCTTCATACCTTTAGGCACTTTGGGCTGTTGCTTTGCCTCGGATTCGGGTTCTTGTTTTGTTTCTGGCTCGGCTTCCTGGGGTGCCTCTGGTTTAGCAGTAGGTATCTCGATTTCCTTGGACTTCGCTTGCAAAGACCTATAGACGACATCGTTTCGGGATAGCGGTATTGGAAGCTCGCTTACCTCATCAACTGCGTCAAAATTGACCTTAGCCACGAGGGTGAAGTTTTGCCAGTCGATGGACGCATAATGGAGCTGCTTGTTCTTCTTCTCTGTCTCTTCTGTTTTCTTCTCGATCTTGTGCTGCTGCTCATAGACAGCACGATCGTAAGCGCTTTGAAATAAATTGCTGTTATCCAGCATGATCTTCTCATGAAGCGCCTTAGACTGTGTGTTTTTGTCAGGATTCTCAACTGAGTTGATGACTGTCTGGTACTGTTTCAATAACCTCGTGAACAAAGCGTGAAGCGAATAAGAGCGCCTCAAAAACGCAAATTGACTTCGGTTGCCTCTCTGCTCCATGTAGCGATATAGACTGTCGATGTGTCTCTGTGAGTTGCAGGCAACATACAATGCAGTGAGTTTCACGACTTCAAGGTCGAAAGCCAGAATGGGTGGAAGCTCGGTGAGAAATTCAAGATCTTTCGGTTTTTCTAGTGGCTTTGTCTCTGATTGCTTCTCCTTGGTCTCTTTGGTAGGAGCTTCTGTCTTGCTGAGCTGAGCTTTGTAGTACTCATGATACTCATTGTCAGGTTTAAGAAACGAGAACTTCCCGTCCTTGTCGTTGTTTATAAGCCTTTCTTCAAAGCTGCTGCCGTTTTTCAAAACATAGCCTGCTGTTTTTTCTATCGTATCTCGTAGCTGTATCGGAGGTATGGACATGATGATAGAAGTAGGTAGATGAGCTCTTGATGTCGCACTCTGTGGAGGACTCGCTTAAATGGCTGCAAAACAGGACTCCGTTGGACTGAGCACATAATATGGATAATAAGAATACAAAGACATTTCTTGGACTAACTTTAGGTCTCTGAATTTAATTTTGGCATCAATTATACTGCATCTCCCTTGTGTAAGCTGCGAGCACCCGTAACTCGCCCAATTTTTGAGCTAGAGCGCTCAAATTTTGCCAGAATACCCCCACATACATAACCAATACTTTCAAATCTCTTTATTGACCTAACAGATAGTCGTAAAATTACACATCTCTTGTTTCACTGGAAGGGTGTACCTTGCATCAATTGGCACTCTGGCCGAGTGGTCTAAGGCGCCAGGGTAAGGTTACCTTACCATACATTCCTGGTCTCTTCGGAGGCGCGAGTTCGAACCTCGCGGGTGTCAATATTTTTTTTTCTCGTCTAAGCAACCTATCCATTGTAATTTAGATCTTTAGTCCCCGTCATTTTTTAGCTCATTGTTGGATCCTTGTCGGAGTTATCTGGCATCCGGCTCCGGTGGCACATTTCCCGCAAAAATATAGACTATCTTCACGTGATGCACATAGTAATTCGCCTCAGATCCTTTAACACTAGGTGCTTCTTAGAACCATAATGATACACCTTCTGGACCGGATGGAACCTCGTCCTCGTGCACGGAGCACCTCCAGTGCTTCAAAGTACGGTCCTCCTAGAAGAGGCTCCATTTCATCCCCAAAGGCCACCCCCAAGTCTGGATATGACTCCTCAAGTTCCTCAGACAGGGATGGCATGGCTGGAGAATTAGATCAGATCGGCCGTTTGAGCATCCCGTCATGGCCATCGTTGAAAGACGGCTTTCCGAACTTTTCCGGCTTCCCCAGCTTTGGCAATCTACCTCAGCTCCCGTCTTTTGATCTACCCTACTTTGATCTATCAGAGGTCTCCAAGAATGTTTCACAATACATGAACTCCTTGAAGGGCAAGGACGGCACCGATGAAGACCCGGAACGCATGAACTCGGTCAAAACTGCCGTGGCTACAAAGATCCAGATGAACAGTTTCCTACAAGACTTGCGAAACGGTCGATCCCTTCAAGCTGCTATTGATAGACTACAGCCACTCACAGATTTAATTCATGAGGTTATCACTCTTCCTGTGGATGGCGACGAAGAGCTCGAGAAGGAGCTGGAAACGGCATTTGAGCCTGAAGGTGTTGGTGAAATTGTGAACCGTGACCAACCATTATTGACCCAACTAGTGCCTCCCGAGGGTGAGGAAATCGATGGGCTTCTAGATCCAACGCACAGACCCAGGCGAGACAGACATAGACACAAGGCCCATAGGCTTTTTAAACGTGCTGGCAGTGCTGTGCTTTCGGATGATACCCAGACAGGTAGCGACTTGGATTACATGGATGAACTCACGCCCGAGGAGGCAAGGGCACTCACACATTTGGATTCGATAGACGACTTTTACAAAGAGGATCTTCTCCGCAGCAAGATCCAGAAAATCCAGAACTTGGCCAACCTCAGTCAGCTGTCCAAGAACAAATTGGTAACGCGTCTCATGATGGGCAACTATTACAAGTACATCAACGAGAAGCTCTCGGAAGAAAAGGGCTTTTCGTTGCGTAATCAGGCTGGACTCCATTTGCCCGAGGAGAAAGACAAGGAATGCAAACATGAGGTTGAGGAGCAACCGCCATTAACAAATGATGAAGAATCGGTGGATGAGAGCATGGAGGAAGTGGATGATGACGAGGTGGTGTTGACTAGAGAAGATACATTGCCATCTTGGTTCGATAAAGAGAAGAACATTTTGGGTTGCAGCCACTACCAAAGAAATTGCAAACTCGAATGTCCCACATGTCTCAAGTGGTATCCTTGCCGATTCTGCCACGATCAAGAGGTTCTGGATCATAAGCTCCAACGAAATGCCGTCAAACACATTCTTTGCATGAAGTGCAATGCTCCTCAGGTTCCAGACACCCCATATTGTGTCAACTGTGAAGAGGAACTAGCAAACTACTTCTGCAGCAAATGTGTCTTGTACGATAACGACCCCAACAAGGATATCTACCACTGTGATAAATGTGGTATTTGCCGTTTGGGTCTTGGTATCGGCAAAGACTACTTCCATTGTGACGAGTGCAATATCTGCCTAAGCATCGACTTGAAGGAACATCACAAGTGTGTGACCAATACCACCCATTGCAACTGCCCCATTTGCAACGAGTATCTTTTTACAAGTGTCAGCAAGGTGGTTTTCATGAAATGTGGCCACCTGATCCACGAGCTGTGCTACGACGAGATGGTGAAACATTCATACAAGTGCCCTGTTTGCAAGAAGACCGTTGTGAATGTCGAAACACAATTCAGAATCCTCGATCAGGAAATTCGCCAACTGCCTCTTCCCCACCCATACAATATGTGGAGGTGCATCATTAGCTGCAACGACTGTAAGGGTAAATCAAGTTGCCAATATCATGTGCTTGGGCTCAAGTGCAAGTATTGTCAAAGCTACAACACCAACCAGCTCAAACTTATCAAGCCGGAGGAGGAAAGCGTGGACAATTCCGCAGAAGAGGAGCTGGACGGCGACAACGATCGTATTGCCTCGATGCGGCTCATGCAAACGAACCTCAGCAGCAACTTCATCATCGACGAGCAAACGACAGACAATAACACCGAGTATGATGCAGACTACAACAGTGATGGTGAGGAGCTGGATGACCAAGGCGGCAACTCCGGTAGTATAGTGAATTTCCGCAGGCTCACCAAGTCGCTACTAGGAAAGAGAGACGTTGACAGGACTTCAATAACGGCAGTTTTCCAAAGCTTCATCAATACTACGATTGCGGAGGTGAACTCCGATAACGAAGTGCAGTCGGATCCGGACATAATTGGTGGGTTTTAGACCCAAATTTTTTTTTCTGGAACCCCAAGACGTCACGAAGTGCTGCAAATGTCACGGCGCCCCAATGCCTGTATAGGCAATCCCAACCGTTACTGTTGTTGGGCCCCAAATCTGGGGAAAATGTCAACGTCGGCGATCATGGCCAAACGGCCAAAAATTTTCGGTTTTCACCAAACTCTTCCAAATCTGGCCCCTCCCATATCGCTTTCCTTGAATTAGTTGCTAATTTGGCCCCATCTGGCAGGTTCAGCACGTGAGGCCACCGCATGGGCGCATAGCTTGCCTATGCTAGTCGTTTAGTTCCACTGTGTGCCTGCAAGCGATAAAAGACGCACATACCCACCTGGCCCAATAAATACCCCAACGCCTAGAAGCGGCACGATTTTCTGCGGACCCTGATTCAAACCTCCATTTTTTCTTTTACCATTCCATCCTCCTCCATCCCAGCCAACATCACTTCTCTTCCTTGCTATTTCCTCGGCGACTCTCTGTGTGACCTTATATACACTGCGAATCGCTGCTCCCGTTCTGGACCTCCCGGCGTGGAACTCAATTCACCACTCTGCTCTTCCACCAAAGCAGCGCCACCCGTTCTCCCATACAATGAATCAGATATGAATTCAATCAAAAAGCTAGTTGCATCATTTGAGCCCTTTTACCTGCCTCCGCTCGAGGCAGAAAAGGCACAATCCCTCGACGACAAGGTCCATAAGGATCCAGAGCAGGAAGCCCCCGAAACCTTAGAAACAACCGAATCCACAGAATCAAATGAACCCGTCGCATCAAAACAACCGCCAGCGCCTTCCTTTCTTCGGCAGCTCTGGTCACTCATTTTGTTTCTCCCCCAGAACTTGATCATACGCCCACTCATGCTCTTGTGGCTTCTAATAACATTCCCATTCACCTACTTCTTTGAACAGGAGTATCCTCAGATTCTCAGCAACAACTCGCCGACCTCCCAGGAGGAGCAGCGGGAGAAGATTGAGTTGCTCAAGCAAGAGCGCATCATGGCCAACCACATCAAGTCACCGTCTTCCCTGTCGAAGTACTTCATCCCACCTCCGCCCAGACTATTCCCATTATCCAGAAATCCCGACAAAAGAAAGAAGAAGAAGGTGCTCATATTAGATCTAGACGAGACGCTTATCCACTCGCTCTCACGAGGTGCTCCCCGGTCACTCGGCGGATCTGGCGGCCAGTGCCACATGATCGAGTTGAAAGTCAACAACGTCTCCACACTATACTATGTTTATAAAAGACCCTACTGCGATTATTTCCTCAAGGAGTTGAGCAAGTGGTTTGAGCTTCAGATATTCACTGCCAGCGTGCAAGAGTATGCTGATCCCATCATCGACTGGCTAGAAATGGACTTGATCGACTACAAGAAGGTCCAAGGTGCCCAGCGAGACCCACCAAGCAAGGTGTTCACCAAGCGCTACTACCGTAACGATTGCACATACAGACAGGGCGTCGGATATATCAAGGATTTATCCAAGTTCTTCCCCAAGGACGACGATCTCAAGAACGTGATCATCTTGGACAACTCCCCAGTGAGTTATGCTTTGCACGAGCACAATGCCGTGATGATCGAGGGCTGGATCAACGACCAGAGCGACAGAGACTTGGTAAATCTTTTGCCCATGCTCTACAGTTTGAGTATGTGTATTGACGTGAGGTTTATCTTGGGAATGCGGAGCGGCGAAAAACTCTTTGAGAGTTTATGATATAGTTAATGATTCATGAACAGTACGCGTTGAGTAGACCAGCGATAAGCTTTTGACTTACGCTTCACCTTGCATTTGAGACAATGCTTCCTTGGAAAAGGGTAAACAATCGTCGGAGGGGAACTTGTATTGCCTTTTAAGTAGTTTTGAAATTGAGTTTATGAGAAGCTTTATAATGGCTGAATGCTTCACTGTTACAGCTTGTCTGATGATCCAGACAACATTGGGATTGTAGAGAGCTTATTCTTCAACAATGAAATAAATATGTGATGAATTTTTGATTTTCCTCAATTGCATCAAATAATCGATTGACAAAAAAGTAGACATAGCAACTAATCCACCGAACATCACCTCCGCTTTTCAAAATCTACACGCATACTCCCAATGGGTGCAAAACGTAAACCTTTGAGCCACACCCAAAAACTCACAAACACTTTGGAAGCTTCAATTGCCGAAGATTCCAAAACCATACACGTCAAGAATCCTCAAATCATGAAATATCAAAAAAATTACGAGTAGACAAGATCCCTCCATATTCTCAGCTCTTCCTTCTCTGTCGCGCGATCTGATCAACTACCATGCTGCTAACAGAGCTCCACGCCAAACTAGAAGAGGGAGTCGAGGTGGCTGAGACCCTTGTTGCGGTTAGAGACACTCTTCGTCAGAAAGAGATCCGTGACTCTCGCGAGGGAAATGAAATCGTGGATCAACTTATCCGTTACTTCAACGACTACACGGTTGATGTGCTCAAGGCGCTTGTGAACTATACCGCCGATAGCGACGGCAACAGGGCCTCTTTGCGATTTAAAACTGACTTCTGGAAAGAAGCAGAGAAGGTGTTGGTGGGCGAAGATGCTACGGCTGCTGAGTTGGTGGTGATCCTTATGGCCCAATACATGTACAATGTTGGAGAGTCCTCCCGTGCACTGTTCAGCGAAATTTACATCAATGCCAGGGACGCCATCATTGAGTACGTTTTAAAACCAGATGGTGCTGCTGAGGAAACTGCCGTGGAGTTACTATCGGAGATTCCTGACGACAAGATGGCTATAGACGACCAACGCGCTCAGCAATTGGTCAACAAGATGATAAAGGCGTTTGATGATGAACTCGACGTTGAAGAGTACCTTTACTGGATCATGGTTTTTGAAAAAGTGACACGATACGCCAAGGCAGACGCTCACAGCGTGTCTGGCTTATACGCCAAGGTGCCAGACGATGGCATTGAGCGCCAGACCAAGAGAAGGCTTTTCGGAGGCCAGGGTAACATTTTCCTGGGCCCTACCTACGACAATTGGGCCAATGTGGAGAAAAGTATAGACTACGTGGTGGGAGATGGCGACAACTTTGCCACTGCAGCAGCTGCCATTGATGTGGGCAATTGCGTGAGAAGCAAAGAGGACCAGGCAAAAATCACCGCATTGATAGAAGAAAGAGTTGGGCTCGAGCGATTCATTACTAGTCTCATCACTCGCAAGTGGGACGATATGATCCAAAGCCAATATGTGCACTGCCTCACAAATCTTTTGCAGCCAGCGGTGAGCGAGCTCCTATTCAAACACTGGAAGCTGTTTTATCCCATAGTCAAGTCCTCCTGCGACAATCCCGGATATGTACCAGAGGCCGCTGCCACACTGAGTAAGCTTTTGAAAAAACTTGCTCTCGCCGAGAACGCCGAAAAGTACCCAGAGTTGTGGACGCAGTTCTCCACGGAATTGGACGTGCTTCGGACGCTCATGCAACGAGAGGTGAACGTCGTTTTGCTTGAAAACAAAACGCTCCGCCCGCTGATCCTAGCAGCTTTATTCGAAACGCCCACCCAGATCTCCGAAACCGATCTCTTGGATCAGATTCGGGCGCAGGCGCTTTTTTTCTCCCACGGCACCATCAGATCAAAACTCGCGCCAGACTCTGCACTTGCCAGTGCGGTAGCGGGGCCGTTTGCGCTGTTTTTACTGGAGCTTCACAAAAGCCTTGCGGAAGGCGAGCAGAGGCCTGCAGCGGTTTTGAACAACGCTGGTTTCGTGGCTGCAAAAGCCAAAGATTTATTTACACTGGACGACGAGGCGGTCAGGATTTGTGAAGATTTTCTTCGCTTCATGTCGTGCCACACCCAGTCTCAGTGAGCCCTCAATTGTGGTCTGGGCTGGCTGCCCCTCCGGAACCGCACGGCTGTTCGCGGCCTCTAACCCAATTGCCTTAGCGCCCCAGTGGGGCCATATAACGGAGATGCTTTCCGCCTGTTTCACCCCATCACAATGACCGTTTCTTCGTATTTTGCAAAACTCGACGACTCGCCTCCTGACCCCATCGCCCAGCTTATGGAGGCGTCGGCTGCCGACCCCAACCCAGACAAAATCGACGTCTCCATCGGTGTCTACAAGTGTGACAAGGGAAACCCCCACCACTATGTGTTTCCATGCGTGGAGCAGGCAAAGAAGCAATTAGCCGAAAAGGACCCTGGCCACTGCTACACAAACATGACGGGTATCCCAGCCTTCCGTCAGCTGGCCCAGCGCACCATCTTTGGTGAAAACCACGACAATGTTGTCTCTCTCCAAGCCATCTCTGGCCTGGGCTCTTTGCACTTTGCCTTTGCCTTTTTGAGAGCCGTGGGTCTCAAGGACTTCTACGTGGGCGTGCCTGCCTGGGGCAACTACCAGGGCATGATCGAGCACGTTGGTGGTGTTTTCCACAGCTACAAATACTTCGACGAAGCTTCTCGTGGAGTGGATTTTGCATCCACCATCGAGGCGCTTAAAAACGCTCCTGCACGTTCTGTCTTTGTCCTCCAGGCAGTCTGCCACAACCCGACCGGTTGCGACTACACGCAGGACCAGTGGCTGCAAATCATCACCTTGCTTAAAGAAAGAGACTTGTTCCCTGTGTTTGACATTGCCTACCAGGGTTTCGCCAGCGGCTCGGTTGACACCGACGCTTGGGCCATCAGACAGGCCTACGCCTCAGGCATCGAGTTCATGGTGTGCCAGAGTTTCTCGAAAAACATGGGCCTCTACGCAGAGAGAGCTGGCTGTCTCCATGTGGTGGTCAACGACAAGGACAGTGTGGCCAACGTCACCTCGCAATTGACTGCTCTTGCCCGTCACGAGATCTCTTTTGCTCCTGCCTTTGGCGCCAGAGTTGCCACTATAGTTCAAACCGACCCTGCCATTCTGGAGCAGTGGAAGACGGACGTTGCCGACGTTTGCAACCGTATTAAGCAGGTTCGTCACCAGATTGTCGAGAAGCGCCATTGCAGGTTCAGAAATTGATCCTGGAACACTCCATCTACCTCACAGCCAACGGCCGTATCAACGTGGCCGGCCTTAATCTGTCTAATTTGGACGCCTTCTGTCGTGCCGTTGACGCCGTCGTCAGAAAGTATCCTGCCGCTTAGGCTCTACGTATATACCTAAAATGCATAGTATGGCCTATAGACCAAAAAGAGTCCCCTGGACTCGTTCTTCTTATACAATCTTACCGTGTATCTTCTTGAGATGCGCCTTGAGGTTATCCTTCCTGTTGAAGCGCCGCCCACAATCGGGCTCGTCACATTGAAAGGGCTTGTCTGTTGAGTGGCTCTTCAAATGACGCTTGACATGCTCAGGCCGTTGAAATCTGGCGAGACAAAGCGGACACTTATGCTTTTTCTTCGGGTCGTAGACATCGTTTTGCTCCTGCTGCACGTAGATGGGCCTTTTCAGGTCCAGCTGGAGAATGCTTTCGGCGAATTTTGCAATGTCCTCTGTCGTGGAGGTCTTTTGAATCTGCGACGCGGTCGGGTATCCTGTTAAGACCTTGGAGGACAATTTCTTAGCAGCAGCGTTCAACAAGTTCAGGCGAGGGTTGTTGTGTGTGGGCCTCAGGCCCAGTGGCATATTGGCCAGGACGTGGGTGATCGGGGGCATCAAGCGACCCGAGGACACTGGAGGCAGCGGAGAAGCATGGCCGTGAGAGGCGCTAGCGCTACTGCTGGATTGGGTGATAGACGCAAGGTCTATGGATGCTGGATATGACTTCAAGCTGGTGTCGGTCATGCGATCGGAGGCGACGAGCTCCGGCAGCAACAAGTCGATGGATGCAGATTTTTTGAACGCATCGTGCGGATGCTGTTCGCTGTTGTACTTTGGAGACGAGCCGTCCGCCAGTAGCTCGGGCGTCAGGTCAAACACGTTGGACAAGTCGTGGGAGGAGGAGTGGCCCAGACGAGAGTTGACGACGCGGGCCATCCTCAGCTGGTCGCCAAACGACGTGAACAGCTTTGCTTTACGTAGCTGCTTGCATGCGTCGTCCTCCTGGTCCTCGATCTTGATGGAGTCCAAGGTGTCGTTGCGACGAAGCATCGCTGGACGGCTCTGGCTGGGGCCCGCCAGATCGAGCAACAGGCCGCCAAAGCTTTGATTGTGCGAGATGGGCGTGAAATACTGAGATCCCATGGGTGTTTTTCCTGCTGGCGTCGCTAGCGGCGTGGAGTCGTCGAGCCCAACGCGAGGCGAGACAAAGTCGTTGTGGAACGGGTTGTGCTCGTTCAAGTTGACGTTGCAGTTGGCCAAGGCGTCGTAGCTCTTGTTGCTTGCCACGGAGGCCAAAAGGTGGGCCAGGGACGGCTCCAAGCTTGCTTTCAGCCGCGAACGCCGGTGACCCTTGAGCGGAGTCTTGCCGACTTTGGCGTGGGTCAAGGGCAGCACGCCGCCACGGAGAGGCGTTGTGTAGGAGATAGAGGTTGATTTGTGGCGGCGGCCCGGGGTGGCGGTGGGCTGCAAGGCGGAATGGGGCAGATCAAGCAACAGCGGATTCAGCACCAGCAGCAGAAGCTGAGGCACCAGGTCGGCCAGAAGCTGGAGATTCGCCAGCAGCAGGTAGAAGGTGCCCAGCGGCGGGTCGGCCAGGTTCGACACGATCAGCAGCAGGTGCTGGTGGGAGCGTCTGTAGGTGTCATCCAAGGATATGTTTCTGGAGTGGTGGAAAGCATGAGACTTGTTGCGGGCGGGTTCCTCGTGGAAAGGCGCCAGAAGCGGGCGGTGGGCGGACTCTTCCAAGTCAAAGTCCAACGCCAGATCGTAAAAGTCCAGCGGGAGGTCGGCAAAATCCAAGTCGTACACGGACGGGGAGTTGGTCTGGTTTTGCACGTCGGGATTGTCGATGTTTTGGAGCGCCGCTAGCGTGTCTTGGGAATAGTAGGGCGGGGGGTGGTGGTGGTGCTGGGAGGGAGAGCTCATGAGAAACTTTTCCATGGCCCCTGGGCTGATTGTGATGGTGGAGGATGAAGCCCTTTGGCTCTAGGACGTGCTGGTTGGAGGGGGAAAAGCGAAGTAGCGGCCCAGAAAAACGCACGAAGAAAAAAGCGAGCTGAGACAGCGCAGGGCGACAAAAGCAAGGCAGACGAGGAAGAGAAAAGGGGCACGGCAGATAATTGGATTTTACGATTGGCACTTTACGTTTTTCAAAGAATTAAAAAAATTCGAAAATCAATTAAGGCGACGCCGGCGTGGCCACCGCCGGTGAAAAATGGCACCTGATCCGCCCACACGAGCTAGGGCTACGGAATCGGGTGGGCCAAGGCGGGCACCTTCACATACTGGGGCGATTCTCGGGAACACCGCTAGTGCTGTTTTTCCGCTGCCTGCTGCCAACCGCCGCCACGAGATATTCCACGAGAATTCCACTGCTGGCAAACAACTGGATCTCCCAGCGCCCAGTGGCTGCGAATCCTGGGTGTGCGCCGGGGCTAGGCGTTGTGCTATTTGTGGCTGCGGCGCCGCGCGCCGCGCAAACCGTCTACCACCACCATGACGCCACCACACCATGGAATTTGAATTGTACTACTAAACTGCCATTTCTGCCCGCAATTGCTTCTTCGTCTACTGAGCCGTCGCCAACGATAATGTGGGCGCGCCGAAGGACGCGTCCTGTGTCCTGCACACAGGGCCCCGCGGAGTGACAAAAAAAGAAGCTCGCCTGTCACCGCGACGCGATAACAATACTTTGGCGACCCGGCAGCGCCACCACTCCGCCTCCCCGTCTATTTTTGGCGCCCCGCCAATTCCTTAACTACGAGCAGGTAGCAGCAACTCGTCGGCACGCATTCCACCGGCAGCAGCAGCAAGCCTCCACGAGTGGAAACCCGTGCACCACATACCGCAAATTTTTTCCACTCTACGTTGCCCTTTTTTTTTTTCCTCCATGCATAGAACCATGCACTTGCTCGCTTACACCGCTATGCGTGGAAATGGTGTGGTGAGGTTGTAGGAGGAGGAGGTGCGCGGGATCATTGACTATCCCGTTTCCGTGGTACTCTCTGATTTTGCGTTTCCTTGTTGACGGGATAGTGACGTCATCGCACCCCGCGGCTATTTTCGTATTTTAAACTTTCTTCAGGAAAATCTAAAACGCTCGACCCCTGAGTCGCCATGTCGGATGACGCCGGACACACCGCGTCGGAGGCTTAGGCCCAGATTTTGTCAGAGAAATCGGGCCATTGCTTGTGGTTGTGGAATTTGCACCGCGGGTCCCTCCGTTGGTCCGTTCTATATCATTGCCCATTTGGGCAATACCATTGAATCGATGCATGAGGTCATTGCACTTGGCACAAGCTGCACCCATCTGATAACTACTGGTAGCTACACCCTTGTCTAGATCATTTTATTGAAAGCGTACTAGCAACGTCTCACGTTAAATACTTATGGGTTCTGCTTGACAAAGTCAACACCCTTCTTGATGTTGCCAACCAAGGTCTCCTTGGCCTTCTTGATCAAGCCCTCCTCGTAGTCGGACAACTCGCCCAAACCGTGGATCTTCTCAGCACCCTCTGGGCCCAAGGTCACCTTGGAGGAGAAGAAGTCAACACCCTCGTCCTTGAACAATGGGGAGTCGACGAAAGATGGCTCGACAACGTCGGTCTCACCAGCCAAACCGTCCAAGACAGAGCCGGCGAATCTGGCACCAGCCTGGGCCATGGACAAAGTGGCAGAACCAGCACCGTCCTTGGCCTGGACAACCTCGTCACCACCGAACTGGATTCTGTGGACCAAGGCGTCTCTGGTCTCAGCGTCCAAGCTCTTGTGGTTGGTCTGAGACAACAATGGGACAATGGTGACACCAGAGTGACCGCCGACAACGGTGATCTTCTCGTTGACAGGGTTGGTACCGGCAACCTCAGAGGCGAATCTGGAGGCTCTCAAGACGTCCAAGGTGGTGACACCAAACAACTTCTTGGGGTTGTACACACCCTTAGACTTGAGCACCTCAGCGACAATTGGCACGGTGGAGTTGACTGGGTTGGAAATGATACAGAGGGAGGCGTTTGGAGCGTAGTCAGCAGCAGCCTTGGCCAAGTCTCTGACAATGGAGGCGTTGGTGTTGAACAAGTCGTCTCTGGTCATACCTGGCTTTCTTGGGACACCAGCTGGGATAACGATAACGTCAGAGCCAGACAAGGCCTGCTCCAAAGAGTCAGGGTTGTAGCCCTTGACGGTGGAGTTGGTTGGGACGTGGGAAACATCGGCAGCAACACCTGGGGCGCCCTTCAAGTCGTAAAGGGCCAAGTCAGTAACCTTGTGGTTCAACTTCAACAAAAGCGACAATGGCTGGCCAATTCCACCACCGGCACCGAGCACGGCAACCTTGTAGGCGTTGGAAGCGGAGGCAGAGAAAGATCTGGCAGAAACCTTGAACATTACGAAGAAGTGGGAGTCTGGGGGTGTGGATCTCGGCCCGGTGAATTTTCTCGCGCTTATATAGTCGTGGGGATAGTGTGAAAACCGCTTGAACCCGCACATACGGGCCAATCAGCGCGAACGATTCCAAGGTCCTTCAGCCCTCTCCGAGGCCGACCGATCCTGCCATTAATGGGGTTTGTGTTGGCATTGCGGGTTGATGGAGGTTTGGGAAAAATTCTGAAGAATTGACAAACTTTATTTTTCTTCTCCTACTCTCCTCTGATTGGTGCAATTGATTGGCTGTGGCTCGAGGCTTTTCGCAGCCATAATCTGGGGTTGACAGAAGGGCATGAGGTTGCGGGTTTTTCGGAATGAAGAGTGGATCTGAATTATCACAGCATTGTTGTGTGCTTTCGGCGTTACAATTGAGCGTGTGGTTTTGATTTTAGATGTGGGGTCGTGGTGGCTTAAAAAAGGGCTGACGTAGCCGTGCCATATACACCAGCTGGGGTTTGGGCAATTGAGCAAGTAGGAATTGGGCTGCTAGGGAGTTGACTGTTTGAGGAGGAAGGGTTCATGGTTTGATGGTCAATTGCAGAGGAGGATCGGCAATTTTCGTTTTATCTGGTGGTAGAATGCCGTGGGTTGGAGGTGAACAATGGTGGCATCAACAGCGTTGATGATGGCGATTCAGGCGAATTCATTTGGAGCTTCTCGTGGAATTGCTACTTCTCCTAGGCTTTTCCTTAATAAGTTTGGTAATCACTCAATTGACCCGGTAAGAGAAGCCTGGTTTGTACTTGGTGTTTCCTTCAGAAGCGAAGTGTCTGATTCAGCCAAACACACCTTCCACTTGATCTCGTGAACAGCTTCAAAAGCATCATATTACTAACAATTGCATTCATAACTTTTTGAGACGGGATTCTTTAGGTTTCTTGTAAGAGAAATGATAAGAAGATGACCCGTCAGCTTTCGTGAATTGCAACGCCAGATCAACCTTGCACTTCGCCATTCTTTCACCTTTGAAGAAGCATTCTAGAAAATTGATGAGCCACCTTGTTGAATCGGTGAATTGGGGCTGCTTTTGAACTAGCTGGCCTCCTTTACGGCTCTCAAACTTTGGCTATCTTTCATTTTTTGAATTTTACGCTCAATTTGGGCCGCATTTGGCTAAAATTGAGTGTGCAAAGACTCATGCCTTCAATAAAGCGTTTCGCAACTTTTCAGCACTCAAAAAGCACTTTTATACTGGACAACAAAATAACGCGATCTATAGTACCTGCAGGTGCCTCAAGTAAAATCCGCCTTTATGGCCAAGTTGGTAAGGCACCTCACTAGTAATGAGGAGATCGTCAGTTCGAATCTGGCTGAAGGCATCATTTTTTGGATCGCGCATACACACGCTTTTATTATTCTTTTGATCAAACCATCTACATTATATTTTTTTCATGTCGAATAGAGATCATGCTAAGAAGCATTCCATGGACATCCCCCATGTCACGTCCGTGGAATTGCCTTTCAACGTGAAAAACACAGACAGAGCAGTCCATATGCTAGGAGGAAAACAGAGGATCCAGAAGGCTATCAACTCACAATACAGACCAACAGCCATTCAGCCCAGCAGCCATGCTGTCGACGACAAGAATTTGGAATTGAGGCTCCGAAATGATCCTTTTCATCATCCAGTACAGGCTTCGGTTAACAGAAGGGAAAAGGTCCTACTTAAGGTATCCATCCCAAAGTCAAGTCTTCCTAAGGATTACCACGAGAACCCACAGAAATACCCCGTCAGAGACCTTCTTAGGCAATCCAAGGATGACGGTCATCATGCAAAGGTAGAGCCTGTCGCCATAATCAACAAGAACTACAGCTTTCGTGCCATAGCTGACTTCCAGATGACTACGAAGAACAACAAGATGGCACAAGACTTTAATAACCAAGTTTTGAGACTGAGCCAGTTTGATGACTACAAGAAATTCTATCAGGATAAGCTTACAAAGACAGACGACTACAAAAACCCCGAGATATTCGAGAACAAGGACCACCAACTAATCCCACCTCCACATTTCAGCGGCATTCGGTTCCCATTCGATTTCAGGTATCAAAAGAGTCCATACACAGTAACGCTACGAGACGAAGAAGGCAATGCCAAGGTGGTGATGAAGTCGGATTCCAAAAAGTTGTTCACCAACACCGTTGACTTCTACAGCGACTCGATCCCTGAAGCACCTCTACCCGAGATTATCAAAAAATACGAATGGATGGTGTCAGCAGATCTATCACATGAGTATTCGGACAAAAAGCTTTTCGATTGCGTTCATTTTCTCAGGAGGCTATTTGAGATCAAGCCTATTTGGCTAAGAAAGCTGCTTGTTGATGTCACTCCAGAGCCATTGAAGGCAGCTGTGAAAGAGGCGCTTCCGTATGTTTCTTATTGTTACAAAAATGGTCCCTGGAGATTTTGCAACGTGAGACTTGGAGTCAACCCCAAGGACAGCAGCTCTTACTGGGTTTACCAGAGTGGATATTTCCGTTTACAAGGGCTCCGTACCAAATTCGATCAAAGCGAAGATACTGTACGGGTGGTCCCCAACACCATTAAAATGAACGATCCAAACTCTGAAGTGATGGTCTCTGAGCACTTGTTGTTCACCGGTAAGAAGCTACCTGGAGCGATCAATTACCAGATCGGTGATATTATGGACGACGATATTGTTTCTGTAATCAAACGTGCTGAATTACACGGAGAGCTTTTGAGGGACACTTTGGACTCGCAGGAAGGCTGGATCAAAAAGCAGATCATCGAGACCATTCGTCGTATCGTCAGGTATAAGCTACGTCGGTTGTACAAAGAGCTCCCCATTGAGCGTGAGAAGATACACGAAATTATCGAAGCAGATTACACGGAGAAGGAAGGAGAGGAAAATGACGAGGACATGGATGAGGATGAGGAGGAGGTTGATGAAGAGGATGAGGACGGCGCGGAGCACACAAACGAGGCCGATGACAACGACATGGACGAGGATGTAGTGGATCCAGCTTCCGTCACGGAAGAATCCATTCTCAGCAGAATCAGGCAAGCAGATGGCCCAGCAGCAGAGAAACTCGCGTCCTTCGAGGGTTTCATCAAACACGAGGCCATCCGCGCCGATGAATAAGATATACAAAATCTTCGGGTGGTTGAGGGCAGCAAGCATTTGACGAGCGCAAAACAATAATTTATAGGAGACTCACTGTGACCAAGCTGTGTACCGTAACGGTGGATATGGCTGCAAAAGTAACGGGAGCGCATCCTGCAGTACATACACATTTCGCCCTGGATAAAAACACGTAGAGCGACTTCGACAATTGAAACTTAATCCATCGTCATGACTAAAGCCACCGAGACCGCCCTTGCATTTTTCGCTGCCGGTGCAGTCTACTTTGCCTTGATCACCGGTACCATTCCTACCAGCGAGTTGGTGCAGAATGAGATCTTGCCATTCTTGCCATGGTGGGCCTTGGTCACTTTCGGCAGTTACGCCTTGGCCACGCTAGGCTGGGGTGTTCTCACTTTCAAGGACAAGGAGAAGAGCTACAGGGAGTTGTTGCAGCAGATAGACGAGGCTAAGACTTTCTACAAGGAGAAGGGTCTTGACTTGGATGAATAGCTTTGATGATAAATGCCGATAATAAATTAAGATACACGATGCAAAGATTATGTAGAGATGGCGGAGCGATGATCGGCTCTGTCTTTACTCTGATGCTGACGGTGGGTGTTGGGCTGCCAGGTTGTAGGTACCTGGTTAGCTGAAGATTGTGGGGCTTCGAAGTAGCAAGAGAACCTGCCTAGTCTAAGCAGCCTCTGACCTTTGACGCTTCTTGGCCTTCAAACGCTTCTCTGTCTGTGCAAACACTCTGATGGCCACAGGGACACCACCCCAGGACTCTTCAGCGATGGAGTCCTTTTCGGCGTCAGAAGCATTCGCCATCTCTTCAGGGATATTCTCCTTATTCAAGAGCTTGACAGGAGGGTAGAAATCCGCAGGCCACAAACCGCCCTGTTCCTTGAGCTTGCCAGCGGCCAACGCTCTTCTATCGTTCCAGTCCTTGACATCGTCGTTGTACAACTCCCAAACACAGTTGATGCAGCCACTCATGCAGCAATTATCGGGCTCTTTGGGCTTGTCTGGAACCGTGACGCCGGCAATGATTCTTGGCTCTCCCACGTTCATACGACTGGAGCTTTGTCTTTCTTCACCTTTGATACGACCGCCAAAGACTTTGCGGATTCTCTCTTCAGGCGAAAGATCATCAAGGGAGTAGTTGCCCTCAAAGGTGGTCTTTGTCTTGCCCTTGAGCATCTCTAACTCTCTGGGCTTCATCAACAGGGCCTCGATAGGCTGTCTAGGGTGGGTAGGGGTCCTAAGGACCAAATCGTAAAAGGCAAACTTGTTGGACGAGCGCGCTAGCGACGTCGACATCTGTCTATAGGTTCTAAGCATGACGAGTAGGTCAAAAGAATGTAGGTAGCTTTCGCTGAAGCTTTGGATGCGCAAAACATCTGTTAAGTATGAGCAACACCCACAGGCAGGCCCGCTCTGTGGAGTCTGCAGGCCCTACAGAGTATATGCTTCATTACAAATGCGCACATTGGCCAGGCGCACCAGTCATGCCTTCATTTTGCAGCCAAGTCCAATAAGGTTAGACACCCTCAATATCAAAAGCCTTGAGGGCCTCGTCGATGCTGAGAAAAAATCCGTTGCCTAGACGTTTGGCAACAGTGTATGTACGTAGAGAGGTGGAGCTGTTGGCTCCGTTGAGCTGGGGTGAGGACCTGCCTTTCACGTACCGCTCGTAGTTGGAGTTGACGATCCCCACAATGCCCAGCTGCCGAAACCTGTTGCGGACCTGGGAATTGGTGGGAACCCTGGCAAATGAAACACAGATATGGTTCACCTCGCTGTATCTGCGGACAATCTCGCAAAGTGTCTGTGTAGCCGAGGCGTCGATGCTAGTCATTCCCTTGCAGTCAAAGATCACAAACTTTATTGCACCTTCTTCAAAGCCTCGCACGGACGGCTGAGATGGGTGCACCAGAAGGCTTCCAAACTTCTCGATGCGGCTAAGGCGACCCCGCAATGCTCCCAGATTGGCAAAGTTGAGTGGTTCGGGGATCTTGATAATGAGCACACCTTCGATCTGCTGGATCTCCGCCACCAATTCGGCAAGGTTGTCTGTGGATGTAGCGTCGTCCTGGTGCTCGGCCTCAGTGTATGTGAAGAAACTTTCCTCAATGAGTTCGTCGGCGTTTCTAAAGACTGAAGTGTTCGGCACTCTGCCTAGGATGTGGATCCGTGATTGAGTGCCTGCCTTGATGATTCTGACCACTGCAATGACAATTGCGAGTATGACGCCGGACTCGACGCTCCAGAAAATGGTGGTTGCAAAAACCACCAACAAGGAGACAATTTCGTCGTAGCCGTCGATGCCCCAGAAGAACGCTACGTCGTGGGGCACCTCCTCTAGCACTGTCAAGCCGATAATTGTAGTGCTCAAAGCAAGAACACACTCGGGAAGGAAGTACAAAAGCGGGAGCAAGTACCGAATGGCAATAACGACAATAACGGCCATGATCAGAGTAGCCATGGGTGTCAGCGCTCCTGCTAGAATGTTCACCTTGGACCGGCCAAGAGCACCGAATGAAGGTAGACCACCGAACATGGTGATGGCAAAGTTAGCCATTCCAAGTGCCACGAGCTCTCTGTTAGAAGAGACATTGTAGTTGTAGCGGGCACCTAGGGCTTTGGTAGCAGTGGTTGAGTCGAAGAAGCCGAGAATCGAGCAGAGAAAGGATGTCTGAAACACCTTCTTGAACAACGGGAAGCGAGACAATTTGAAGGGATTGATGATCACAGACTCAGCAGCAACGTCCTTCTTTTTTGTGCTGGTTAAATCACCCACAATCTCCACGCCCTTGCTTTCCCAGTCCAACGTGTAGGAGAGAATGGTGGCCACCACCACCATGCCGAGCAACTCGGGAATATAGACGGCCAGCTTGATGCCGTAGCGATTCACCAAGGTGTTCTTGAACTTTCGGACAAAAAGCACAATTAGCAAAGTCAACACTGTGATGGCCACCGTGAGTTTATGTGCCTCCAGGGCATTTTTCACGGCAAACACCACTTTGTCCACAATGGACTGGTGGGGCTCTTTTGCAGCCAAATCCTGGAGCCCCATCTGGATGTCAAACTGGTTGATGATCATCACCACACCCATGGCGCCAATGAAGCCCTTGAGCAAAGCCCTCAGGAATATGTTATCTAGAAACCCCCATTTGAGCAAACCACACGCTAGCAAGATCGCCGACATGCCCACCGAAATCGTAGCACTCACCTCCAAGTTGGTCAATTCCATCTCCTTGTGTGAATGCATGATGTCGTCAATCACCTGGCCATACAACACCGCCGTTCCCGGCAGCGGTCCCACAACCAACACGGGCACTCCGCCAAATATAGCATACGCTGTAGCAGCCCCCACGACCGAGTACAAACCTACCAAAGGCGGCAATTTGGCCAAGGAGGTTGCCAATGACATCACCAATGGCATCTGGAAACTAGCCATCGTTGCCCCAGCCAAAGTGTCTCCCAACAAGTTCTGCTTAGCACTGTAATTGGGAAGCCATCGTAGAATCGGTAGGTAGTAGCTGACGTAGGCCCAACGGCTGAAATTCTTATTGGCCTCCAATGCTTCCAAATTTAACAGATCAACGTCACACAGGCGGTAGTCGGCTATAACAGGGTCCATGCTCCGGGCAGAACGGACCGATCTGACCGACTGAGAACTAGGCACTGAAAGTAATGGTGGTCTGGCACGGCGAGTCGGATTATTAGAAGGATTGGGCCCCAGCGACGGTGGAGGAGTGCCCAAGAGCCTTGTAGACTCGGCTGGAGGAGACATGGAGAATAGACTGATCTGGTGCGATTTGCGTTTTTGTGTCTGGGAATGCGCTCTCTTTATATGTTTTGTTTTTTTCCTTCACCCGGTTGATCTGGAGCGTGCCTGCCGGTTTCATCTGAGGGGTCCTTCCCCACGGTCTGAGGTGTTGCAGAATCATCAACACGCAGTAGGGGTATGTTGGTGACATCACCGGTGGATCAAGGCTGGAAGAAAAAAAAAAAAAAAAAAAAATAAACCACAAGTAAATCGAATAGCTAAGATTTCAATGAAGAAACAACCATAGCACTGGCTTGTCTGCCCGGCCGATTAGCTCCTTCGCTTGAGCATCGGAATGCAGTAGCCTACTTGCAGCCATGCTGTTGCTCATCCTGTTTGATCGATTGTTCTATTTGTCTATCTAATAAATAATTACTGAGCCTCGGCCTCGGTCACAATCTTCTCCAAAAGCTCATTTGTGCCAAATGGGTTCTGGATGTACAAATTGTGACCACCCTCAGGTACAGTGTGGTATTTGGCATTATTCACGCCAAAGGTCTCATTGAGCTCCTTCACAAGCTTTTCACCAGCCTCAGAGTTCATGAAATCGTACTGACCGTATGCAATGTGCAATTTGAACTTGGAGAGGTCCTCCTTGTTGGAGGCCATGAACTTGTCGTACAATGGCCATCTGCTCGTGGTGGCTGGGGTCAAGAGGTACTTCACATGGGTATCCGACTTGGTTCCTGTGGTGATGGAATTGTACAAGTACTCGATGAGAAGACGGCACTCCGTGTTGGAACCATAGACCAACTCATTTTCACTCTTGAACACCAGAGCACCACCAAGCTTCTTGATCACCTTGTTGATGGCAAAAAGTTTGCTGTACCACATATCGTAGTACTTGGCCACACCCCAAGGACCCATGAATTTCAAAAGCCGAGGCAATTTGGGCTGGACATGGTACCACTTGTACACGGTTTCGGGCGAAAGAATGGGCCATCGACTCAAAAAGTGGTAGGACGTGGGGTCAAGAGACGGGAGATTTTCTTCCTGCTCTGGAATTGGCGTAGTCACCCCAAAAGCCGTTCTTTCCACGCCCACAGGCGACAAGAGCACCAACCGATCAACCTTGTCTGGGTTTCTCACAGAGTAGGATCCACACCAATGGCCTCCAAAAGAATGACCCACCAAAAAGTCAATTTTCTCAATACCAGTGCCTTTTCTCCAGCCGTCTAACGCCAGGGTGTAGTAGTCCTCCATGTCCTTGAGCACAGGTGCAAGCTCGTCCCTCGATTTCTTGAACTCCTCCGCGTCAAACTTGTAGCTGTCAATGAGCTTATAGTACTTCCTGTAAAGGTCCTTCGGCACTGTCGTCTTGGTGTCGGTCATCTTGATATGCTTCACCTGGGGTATAGGCGCACTGTAGTCGATGCTCTTGATGGGAGGATTCGAACTCAACGCAAAGGTGATGTTATCGAGAAAATGCACTTTGTAGTTGTTTTTAAGGCCTCTAAACTTATTCACAACATGGAAGTTTCTGGCAAAACAGCCTAGCGAGGCACCGTAGCCGTGAACAAACACCACATGCTTGGTGGAGTAGGACTCATCGTTGACCACTTCAAACGAAACCTCATTGATGAAGTTGCCCTTTTCGTCAATGGGGACCTTCTTGCTCTCTCTCTTGATGCCCTTGTTCTCCTCCCTGGTCAAGGGAAAATGGTGTTCAAGCAAAGCCTGTTGTAGTTCTTCAAGTCTGCCTGGTCTAAGAGATTTCCACCATATATTCAAAAGTTGCCCAAACGGGAGCTTCCCCACAAACCTGCCGTTCGGTTTATAGCTCGACGGAAGCTGGAAATGCCGAATTTGTCGCCCTAGAACCCTGGGGCCGATGCTCCATCTAGTTGCAAACATGTAGAGAATGAACCGCGGCTTGCTCGGTCTCTTCGCTCGCATCTTACGTCTGTTACACAAAATTAGCAGCATTAGTGTCAGGCCCAGTTCATGACGGGTCTGGCTGTGGTCGTTACTATTTACAAAAGATATTTCATCTAGTTTTCGCCCTTGACCAAGCCCACCTTGGCAGGTCTCAAGACTCTGCTGTTCAAGGTGTAACCAGGTTGCTGCACATGGAAGATGGTGCCGGGCTCCTTGTCGGGCTGGGGGATCTCGAAGGTGGCTTCGTGGTGGTTAGGGTCGAACGCTTCGCCCATAGGGTCCATCTTCTCGATGCCGTGCTTCTCCAAGGTCTTCTGGAAAACGTTTCTGGTCATCGACACACCATCGTAAAGGTTCTTCACCTCTGCGCTGGCGGTCAAGGTCTCCTCCTTGACGGAGTTCAAGGCCAACTCGAAGTTGTCGAGAGACTCCAAAAGGTCCTTGGCGAACTTTTGCAAGGCAAAGTCTTTGCTCTTCTGCATCTCCTTCTTGGTGGTCTCCTGCAAGTTTCTGAAGTCGGCCACGGCTCTGGCGTAGTGGTTCTTCATGTCGGCCAAGTCCTTGTCCTTCTTCTCCAATTTTTGTTTCAATTCGGCCACAATAGGGTCTTCCTGAGGCTCCTCCTCCTTTGGCTCCTCCTTGGGCTCTTCCTTAGCCTCACCCTCGGGCTTGGTGCTGTTGAATCTGACAGCGGCCAAGTTGTACCTCAAGGGCTGGACCACAGCGGGTCTGGCCATCCTAAGGGCTGGCCTGGCGGCTGATCTCGTCACGGCGTAAAGGGCTCTCTGCATTATGATTAGAACGTGCTACACTACACCTAAGGTGACTCCGAGAAATTTTCAGTGGACCTCACTGTGTTCGGTTGTGTACAGGGGGGCACCAAAGTGTGACTGTCTGGTGGCAATGGCGAAAGGGCTCTCGAGAATTTTGGAATGGAGTGTTTGCTGGAGATACACAAAGGAGGAGGTATTTTGGTGGAGATGTTTTGAGTGGTGAAATCTGCCCCACTTCCGTTTAGAGCTCGGTGGATGAACTCCGCACCTTGCGTTTCGCAGCCAGTCCAGCAGCCGAGGGGAGGACCAGTAAAAAGGTTGTGAAGCTGAACTTTCAAATTGCATTCTTTGTGTTGAAAGTCGCTTTGTTCCTCGTTCATTGCTATGACGGCTTGCTTGGGGCTTCTTTGTTTGGGTGTAACGCCTGTTGATCCTTCCTCGCCATATACAGAAACAAAGTCTATTACCAGGACCAGGCCACCAGAGACCAATTCCGCCTCCACTTCCTAATTTGCATCAACCGAACATCACGAAACCAGCCACCATCATCAAAACCTCCATTTCTGCTACTCAATCAGGTCATCGCCTCCAAATGGCTGCGAATTCCAGACTGAAATTATTTCGTGCTTCTCCACATTTCGGGCCTGCTCCGGTACGATCCAAACACGCAACTGTAGTTCCGGTGCCAGCTATATTCTTCGACACACACCACCGCAACCCCATTTGGCAATTTCAGAGATATTCGTCCAGCTGCTGATTTTTGGTGACCTGGATTTGTGATGGTGCGGTTCCGCCAGTCTCGCTCCCCACCAAAGAACCCACAATCACTTGCCAGTTTCACAATTTCCGTGCAAAAGGGCGTCGCAGGCATCAAATGCAAATCCTCCTATTTCGCCCCAAAACCACTTTCAGTCTTAATTACACTCAAAATCCGCCCAGATCGTTATTCTCGCTTACAATTAAACGCCTTGCATGTTCGGCCCGTGGGTGCAAAATGCTTTCGCCGCGCCAGAAGTCTCTTATCTTTGACAACGTACGATGCCGCGAAATCTGCCTGACAGACGCAGGTGTCAAAGACAGATTAGGAAGTTGGATTCCACCTCTGGCTTTTTTGCAGCCATAACCTCCATCGTCAACAAAGTGGTCGTAGGGGGCTATTTTCGGGGCCCCTCCAGGCTTATTCCGCAATTCAGCTGTATGTCTGAACCCCCCTCAGTGCCGTAGTTTGTTTCGCTGCGCCATCACAGCAAGAGCTGGAAGAAAATCAAGAAACATGTCGAAAACTTTATAGTTTATGCGACAAAGATTTACCAGATCTGAGCCGCTTCGGGTCTTGTGTTGCACGTTGCCGTCAACTCCTTTCACCGTTCCCTTATCTATGATAGCAAGCGCCTTCTCCTGCATCGCGCCGAGGCATATACGTTATCCGCCTGTCCTGGGGGATTAGACCAGTACGAAGATGTATCTCTGCAGAGTGACTTAATCAGCGATGCGGCGATGAAAAACGCATAAATACTCCAGGATCTGCCTTTCTCTTCGTCAGCTCCCATGTCTAAAAACTTGAATACGACCGTCGAGGTCTACGACGATGCTAGCATAGAGTCCGTCAAGAAGCCATGGTACAAGAGGTTCAGCGACTGGATCGAGGTCGACAACCCAGGCGACTTGACGAACATGCAACGGTTTCTCTTCAATCATGATTTACGTCCTGTCGAGGCTCAAAGAAGGCAATGGTCATGGTACAATTACGCGTTCTTCTGGATCGCTGATTCCTTCAATATCAATACCTGGATGATCGCGTCCACTGGTGTCCAGCAAGGCATGACGTGGTGGCAGACGTGGCTCTCCGTGTGGGTCGGCTACTTCTTGTGTGGTATTTTTGTCTCCATTTCAGCCAGAATCGGTGTGGTGAACCACATTTCCTTCCCCATTGGCGCGAGAGCATCCTTCGGTATCTTTTTCGCTGCTTGGCCAGTCATCAACCGTGTGGTCATGTCTTGTGTCTGGTACTCCGTGCAAAGTATGGTGGCTGCTCCATGCATTGGTTTGATGTTGAGGTCGATCTTTGGTCAAAACCTTGATGAGACCATGCCCAACGGTATCGACAATGCCAACTTGACAACCTTTCAGTTCTTGTCATTTTTCCTTTTCTGGCTTTTCCAGCTCCCGTTTTTGTGGTTCCCTCCTCACAAAATAAGGCATTTGTTCACCTTCAAGGCTTATCTTGTTCCCGTTGCAGGTGTGGCCTTTTTGGTGTGGACTTTGGTGAAAGCTCATGGGGCTGGTCCCGTCATTCACAAGTCTTCCACACTTAATCTGCATGACTTGGGCTGGGCTTTTGTTGAATCGACCATGAATGCTTTGGCCAACTTTGCAACTTTGATCACCAATGCACCCGACTTTTCTCGTTTTGCCGATAAACCATCTTTCGGAATGAAATATATCGTGCAGACGGTTTCCATTCCATTGTGTTTCTCCATCACTTCCTTGATCGGTATTCTCGTGAGTTCTGCCTCAGAAGTCTTGTACGGCGAGCCTACTTGGAATCCATTGGATGTGTTGGGCCACTTTTTGGATAACTATACCGCTGGAAACAGAGCTGGTGTCTTCTTGCTCGGATTCAGTTTTGCCATCGCTCAATTGGGTACCAACATTTCTGCCAACTCCCTTTCTTTCGGTACAGATGTCACTTCCCTTCTTCCAAAATACTTGACTATCAGAAGGGGATCATACCTTTGTGCCATTTTGGCTTTGATCGTGCAGCCATGGAACTTGACTTCCAGTTCCTCCAACTTCACGACATACTTGTCAGCCTACTCTGTTTTCCTTTCCTCGATTGTTGGCGTGATCTGTTGTGATTACTACTACGTGAGAAGAGGTCACTTGAAATTGACGCACTTGTATTCGTTGTTTGCTCCAGAGCAGCCCGAAAAGCCTTCTGCTTACAAGTACAATAAGATTGGCCTGAACCCAAGAGCCCTCATTGCATACCTTTGCGGAATTATGCCAAATATTGTTGGTTTCGTGGGTCAGGTGAAAGGTGAGGATTCGGTTCCTATCGGTGCAATTTACGTCTACAGACTCAACTTCTTCACAGGATTCTTCTCCGCTGCCATTGTGTACGCTCTCCTATGCTACTTCTGGCCAGTTGATGGTGCTGCTGAAGTGAGACCGTTTGAGAAGGCCTGGCTCGAGGAGTTCCAGGATGTCGAGAACTTTGAGGAGGAGTTGCAAGGTCATGTTGTTCAGGGAGTTGAAGAGAGCTCTGGCTCGTTTGCCTCAGGAGTACTGGGTACTTTTGAGAGGAAGGAGATGTTCGAAAAGGCTTGATGCTTTATGTTTGGAGATTCACGGATTTAAAAAAAAAATAACCTAGGAGATTGGGCCGAGCCCGATCTTTTGAGGCACTGGGATAATGAATATTGTACAATATCGCCAAAGTGTAGATGACTTTTTAGACAGAGTTGCATTAGGGGACTTTAGACCTTCTTTGACTTACGGGTACGCTAGACCTTTTTGATACATTTTGCAGCCATTGCATACGCAGCGAAATCTAAGATCAACTTGCCGTTGAGTCATGAAATTCAGATAACATGCTTACATCAACACTATCACCCACTCTCAAATTTCAAATTTCTTATCAAAAGCGATTGCGTACGTCATCGGCACCATTCATGATTCATAAATCTGCTGCGGCAATTGCGCATGCTCTATCTATACATTATCTCGGCGAATCACAATCAATTTTCATTTACTTGATACAAATGCACTCATAATCAAAATCAAAAACATCCCCATTCAATCCCCCTCTTCTGTGTTGCCAGATCAAATCAACTACCTAAGCTTCACATGGTGACTCATACGCGGCTTTCCCCAGAAAACCGATAGTGGTCCTGATTACCTGCACACCCACATGCCTGTGCCGGGCCGGACAAGCTTGGAGAATTTTCACAGTTACCACCAACACCATCACCATGTTTTCCAGATCAGTGCGTACTTTTTCCACTTCCAGCGCTTCTTTGAAGAAATTGAAGATTGGTCTCATTCCCGGCGACGGCATTGGCCGTGAGGTGATTCCTGCTGGCCAGGCGGTCTTGGAAAAGTTGCCCAAGCAGTTTGACTTGCAGTTTGAGTTTGTCACTTTGGACGCTGGTTACGAGTTGTTCCAGAAGACCGGCACTGCTTTGCCCGACAAGACAGTCGAGGTGTTGAAGAACGAGTGTGACGGTGCTCTTTTCGGTGCTGTTTCGTCTCCTAGTGTGAAGGTCGCTGGTTACTCTTCGCCTATCGTGGCATTGAGAAAGAAGATGGGCTTGTACGCTAACGTCAGACCTGTCAAGTCCGTGGACGGCTCCGATAAGCCAGTTGACATGGTTATTGTGAGAGAAAACACTGAGGATTTGTATGTCAAGGAGGAAAAGACCTACAACGCTGAGGACGGTACCAGAGTCGCCGAAGCCATCAAGAGAATCTCTGAGAACGCCACCACCAGAATTGCCGCCATGGCTTACGACATTGCCTTGCTGAGACAGAAGATCAGAGAGACCTCCAACCTCAGCTCCCTCCACTCCAAGCCTTCGGTGACCGTTACCCACAAGTCCAACGTCTTGTCTGCTTCTGACGGTCTTTTCCGTGAGGTCTGTAAGAACGTCTGGGAGGCCAACAAGGACAAGTACGGCTCTGTTGAGTACAAGGAGCAGATTGTCGACTCGATGGTGTACCGTATGTTCAGAGAGCCCGAGATCTTTGACGTTGTGGTTGCTCCAAACTTGTACGGTGACATCTTGAGTGACGGTGCTGCTGCTCTTGTGGGCTCTTTGGGTGTTGTTCCATCTGCCAATGTCGGTGCTGATTTCGCCATTGGTGAGCCATGTCACGGTTCTGCTCCAGACATTGAGGGTAAGGGTATCTCCAACCCAATTGCTACTATCCGTTCCACCGCCTTGATGTTGGAGTTCATGGGT